CCCAGACCATCCGCCAGAAGTCGACGATCGTAGCCTCGAGCGGACCTGTCGACGGCCAGCAATGTTGCACGCGCTGGAGGGGCGGCCGCTCCGACGGCTGATCACGCGCCGGACACAGCGGCCGCCCCGCTGCCTGCTCGGGCTCGGGCAGAGACAGCGCGCCGCGTCCCGGACGGGACCTGAGGCCACCCGGCAGCGCCGGACACACGCGGGGCTTGCTAACGGTCAGTCGGCACCAGCCAGACAGCCGCGGTTGATACTGGCCGCCTTCAGGACACGGAGCGATGAGCTGGACAGGCCTCTCATGATATCACATCACCACAGTCGACGTAAAGAGCACATGGACAGCTGGCGCGAACTCCAGACGAAGCAGCGTACCGCCGTCTTCAGTGACGCCAAGCTAAGTGCGGGACAGTCAGAGGGTCACACAGTCACTGGCAGGCTGGTTCACACAACGTCAGCATGACGGCCAGCCTACCTTGGGCGCAGATGAACTTCTTGCGCTCCTTGTAGCCCCAGACGAAGTTGGCATTGATGTACTCGGTGCTCTGAATGCCGTCGATCTGGCTCAGTTTGACCCGCGTCTGGTCGTAGGCGCGAATATCCGGGTATCTGCCCAGAGATCAGCCATCAGCACCGACTGCATGGCTAGCACACGCAGGCAAACACAGACAGCACACGATGCTGTGATGAAGTGACAGGGACCAACGCACACCATCGGCGGGTGGGTACACGGCTCAGCACAGCTGGCCGGCACCGGACCATCATCACACCATTGGCGGGTGGGTACACGGCTCAGCGCAGCTGGCTTACACTGGACCATCATCCCACCATCGGCGGGTGGGTATACGGCTCAGCACAGCTGGCCTACACTGGATTCATCCGTTAGATGCATGCTGACAGCATAACACGGCTCAATGAGACCCATTTACAAGTAGTCTAGGACACATCTGAGGGGCCATCCACTGTCTTCAGTGCCGTTACGGTGCTAGCCGTGACACCCCAGTATATCCGGCTGTTTCACGTCACAGTGATCTGGGCATCACCGGATGGCGCCGGCCGGCGGCCTGACACACCGGCGCGCCTCGTGTCGCGGGACGGGACGGGACGGGACGGGACGGGACGGGACGGGACGGGACACCGCTCAGGCACCTGTTCTTCTTGAAGTTCTCGAGCGCCTCCGAGGCGTAGGTGGTGCGGTCGTGCAGCCGCTGCGGCAGCGCCTCGAACTCGCGCCGAAAGCCGAGGTCCGAGTCGCGGTGCCGCTCCTGGTAGGCGGCCACCAGGTCGTGGCGCGCAATGGGCGGCAGGTCGGGCACCGGCGAGTCGGCCACCGTCTGGCCGCGCATGCTGCCCAGCATGTCCCTGCGGCACCGGCGTCACACCGTCACACTCGGTCACCACCGGAGGCTCCTCCACGGCTCCACACCGTGTCACAAAACAGTGACAACCGCACACGATCAGGTTTTGCAGTCGGATGGTCGCGCTGGTTTTGGCCGTGATTTGGGCCCACTGGTGGAATGTCTCCTAAACATCAACAGAGCCCTGCTCCGACAAGCCAGCAGGTCTCACCTGAGCGCGCGCGACACAGCCACATCCTTGCCGTAGCGTTTGAGCGCCAGCAGTGTGACCAGCAGCACGAGCACGCAGAGGGCGAGCGCGCACGCCACGCCGATGACGACCCCGAGCAGCGTGCGCTCCTGCTGGGCCGGCGGTTTGGGCGAGATGGGCGGCGACACGTAGTCGGTGTGGGCCATGGCCAGGCGGCGACTGTCACCCCGCCGCACTGTCGACGCACGCAGCCCACGGTCAGCAGGGTAGCAGCGGCGCCACTGTTGGCCACCCTTGACACTGCCGCCACTGCTGGCCGCTCAGTCAGGCAGCACCTCAAAGGGAGGGGGCACTAGCCATTCGGATCCAGTGACCAGATCCTGGGCACAGGAACCAAGCACACATTAACGTTCAGTGACGGGTGATATTTCGACGAGCCTAGCACCTGGAGCAATCTGGAAAACTCCACAGTGTACAACACCAAAAGGCAGGAAACACAGCGCCAATCGGCGTGTTACCACGGCGCGGGGCGCCTGACGCCTCACGTCCATGGGTAATATCGTCGAGATGAGGCCACCCATAAGCGACACGCACCGACAAGCTGGATGAAGGCCGTATAGTTGGCCGCCTCGAGGAGCGGACCGTCGCGCGGCGCGAGCGGCGCCGGCGCCGCGGCCGTCTGACGGCGCCGGTGGCGGCCGGCTGGCGGCACGCAGTGCTGGCAGGCCGTCTCGTCCGTCACCTGGTCGTCGCCCAGCGTCACGTACCTCGTCTTGACGAAGTCGCTGCGGGCGGGCGGGCCGGCTCCGTCAGACGAGGGCGACTGGCGGCTGATGCGTGCGGCCCGAGTCACGCACGGCGCCGATCCGCCCCAACACGCCGCAGGCTGACAAAGAGACCCGCCCCAAACACACCCAGGCGTCCCACCGGCTGGCACAGAGCCCCGCCCCAAGCACACCCAGGCGTTCCACCGGCTGGCACAGAGCCCCGCCCCAACACACCCAGACGTCCCACCAGCTGACACAGAGCCCCGCCCCAACACACCCAGACGTCCCACCAGCTGACACAGAGCCCCGCCCCAACACACCCAGACGTCCCACCAGCTGACAGAGAGCCCCGCCCCAACACACCCAGACGTCCCACCGGCTGACAGAGAGCCCCGCCCCAACACACCCAGGCGTCCCAAAGGATGGCGCAGAGCGCCGCCCCAACACACCCAGGCGCCCCACAGGCTGGCACAGAGCACCGCCCAGCGGCACCCGACACACTGACGGCTACAGCATGCGGTTTATGACGGCTGTGCTCCTGTCCCCACAGAGCCTGCTGCTCTGCTCCTACAGATCGGACCGGTCAGAGAGGCACTCACTGTTCGAAGGCGTCTGCCAGGTAGGCGCCGGCGCCCTCGGCCTGCACATCCTCGTAAGACTTGATGGGCAGTTTGCTGGGGTGCGGCAGGGACGCCAGCTGCTGGTCTGGCCGCAGCTGAACCATCACCACCCTACCGCACAGAGCACGGTCAGCACGGCCGGCTGCTGGTCTGGCCGCAGCTGAACCATCACCACCCTACCGCACAGAGCACGGCCAGCACGGCCGGCCGTACACCCGCCGCACGTGACCGCTCCGGTCCCGGAGCAGTCGCACACCCGCCGCACGTGACGGCCCCGGTCCCGGAGCAGTCACACGCCCGCCGCACGTGACGGCCCCGGTCCCGGAGCAGTCGCACGCCCGCCGCACGTGACGGCCCCGGTCCCGGAGCAGTCGTACACCCGTCACACGTGACGGCCCCGGTCCCGGAGCAGTTGTACACCCGCCACACGTGACGGCCCCGGTCCCGGAGCAGTCGCACACTCGACACATGTGACGGCCCCGGTCCCGAAGCAGTCGTACATTCGTCACACGTGACGGCCCCGGTCCCAGAGCAGTTGTACACCCGTCACACGTGACGACCCCGGTCCCGGGGCAGTCGCACACCCGTCACACGTGACGGCCCCGGTCCCGGAGCAGCTGTACACCCGTCACACGTGACGGCCCCGGTCCTGGAGCTTTTTGTTGTTGTTGATTGGTGTTTTCGGGCGCGCCGACTACAGCGGTTATTTGGCGCCCATAACGATTTTGTTTTACCTAACTAGTGAACCGTGTAAAGAGTCCCGAAGTTGATATGTCTACGGAATAAAAAGACCTGTTTAGATTCAAGAAGGCGCGAGTTGTCTCCTAAAATGTCACAGAGCGTCAAGGGCGAGTCACGCTCACCAAAGAATCGTTGACGTTCTTCAATGAGGCGCGGACATGATGTAAGCACATGACAAACGGTGAGAACAGCACCACATCGATGACCGACAGGTCTTTCGGCTCCATGCAACAAATAACCGTGAGTTGCGTACGTGTGTCCGATACGTAGTCTGCAGAGTATCACCTCTTCTTGTCTTATTTGGCGGAAACACGAAAACCACTGACCCAGCCTGGGTTTTATTGCCCTGAGCTTATTTTCATTTGTTAAATCCCAACAACGCTGCCATTCGTTCTGCAGAAAGGTTTTTATTGCAGGGTAAAAATCTCTGGCAGGGATCACCTCTTCTTGCCTTATTTGGCGGAAACACGAAAACCACTGACCCAGCCTGGGTTTTATTGCTCTGAGCTTATTTTCATTTGTTAAATCCCAACAACGCTGCCATTCGTTCTGCAGAAAGGTTTTTATTGCAGGATAAAAATCTCTGGCAGGGATAGAGAGAGAGCGTACACATGGAGCCAGCGCTGCTCGCCTTGCAGCCGCGTCAGCCACCTCGTTGCCAGCGATTCCAATGTGACTGGGGATCCAACACAAGATAACTTTCTTTCGGGCCTAATCCAGTTGAGTCAAACGTCCTAAAATATCCTGTACAAGGGGACATGATGGATAAAAGGACTAAGAACACTGCAAAGAGAGTCTGCCAAAATCAGATGTGAAGGTTCGTCACTGACTTCAATGAAACACAACGCCTTGGTGATCGCTACCAACTCCGATGTGAACACCGACGCATGTGGAGGCAAGGAAAACGTCCGGATGACGCTGCCGCTCACAAACGCACAACCCACTCCGCCAGAAGTTTTAGATCCGTCCGTGTAAGTAAGTGTGCAATCGTCATATAACGCCATACGCTCAAGTGCCCTCGACCTCATTATATCTGGCAAGACGACATTCTTTTTCATTTCGGTCAAAGACGTACCTATTGATGGCGAGATCAAACGCCAGGGAGCGGTGGACAGATGATCTACCCGCTTCAACCTTCGAATAGGAATTTCGCTTTCCCGTAGCAAGGCTTGTATTCGGAGCCCAAAGGTTACAGCATATGCCCGAGGTGCACTGTGACGAAAATGCACAGCAGGCCGTGAAAAAAACTGCGTTATATGCCGGATGGGAGGGGAACTGTCGCAACTTAAGTGCATAACGCATGCCACCATTTTCCTTCTCGCTGATAAGGGCGGCTCGTGCGATTCTACCATGAGGCTCGTGGCATGCGATGTGCGGAACGCTTCTGTGATTACGCCTAGAGCGGTATGATGGACAGTGTCCAGGACGCGTCTGGTGGGCTCACACGCGCTGTCATAAATGAAACATGCGTAGTCCAGCTTAGAACGTATGATTGAGCGATACAATAGCAAAAGCGTGCTTCTATCTGCCGCATATGATGCGGTCCCGAAGCAGTCGCCGCTCCGGGGACGGTGACGGTCAACTGAGCTTCAAGCGTGTCCACGGCATGGTGCGCCACCTGTGATTACAGCGCGGAGCGCGACGGCTGCGGCTAGGGGTAGGCCACGGCCAGCCTCGGAGACGGCCACGGCCAGCCTCGGAGACGACCACGGCCCGGGGCAGGCCACGGCCAGCCTCGGAGACGGCCACGGCCAGCCTCGGAGACGGCCACGGCCCGGGGCAGGCCACGGCCAGCCTCGGAGACGGCCACGGCCCGGGGCAGGCCACGGCCGGCCTCGGGGACGGCCACGGCCAGCCTCGGAGACGGCCACGGCCCGGGGCAGGCCACGGCCGGCCTCGGAGACGGCCACGGCCCGGGGCAGGCCACGGCCGGCCTCGGAGACGGCCACGGCCAGTCTCGGAGACAGCCACGGCCCGAGGCAGGCCACGGCCGGCCTCGGAGACGGCCACGGCCAGCCTCGGAGACGGCCACGGCCCGGGACAGGCCACGGCCGGCCTCGGAGACGGCCACGGCCGGCCTCGGAGAGGGGCTGCCAGCCAGGGCCCCAGTGTCCGCGTTCACCCCCGGCTGCCGCCCGGCGCCGGCGTCGGTGACAGCTGCCCACCGAGGTGAGGCCGTGCCATCACCTGTAGCAGCAGATGGGCCCGTTTCGCTCCAGCACGCGGTCCACCTGCAGCTGTATGAGCCAGCGTTCGTCGCGCCGCACGCGCCACCAGCGGTACTGCTGCAGCTGGGAGGCGGCCGGCAGTCCGGCGCCCACGGCGCACTGGCGCGAGGCGGCGCCACCACCGCCCGAGCAGCGGTCGGCCGCGCCGGCGCACACCTGTGTGGCCAGCACGAGCTGCGTCAGCGACACCACTCACACCACACACCGACAGACAGAGTCGGTGCCAGCCAGACGCACACGCTCCGGACCGGCGGCATGCATGCTTGGCTTCTTGTCCACGCAGCCTTTGTACACAATATGCGGAAAAATACTGACCTATTTCTTATACTTCATCACAACGCTGGCGCCGAGGAGGTGGATGTGACAATACTTGAATGATCTTGCGTCATCAGGGCCCGCTACATCCAGACAAGCCCAGACTGAGTGCGCCGCGTCCGCGACACATCACGGTCCCGAGGCCGCGGGGGTGACACTGCCGGCGCGCACCGGACACCGGAGGCCCCGCCACTCACGTGGACAGTGTAGTTGGTGTTGGGCACCGCACCCTTAAACGTGACAGTCTGCTCCAGCGCCGGCACCGACCGCATGTCCGGGTCGGACAACATCTGGACTCGCGAGCCGTCCGTGTCGAAGTACTCGGACTTGCCTGTCACCGTGACCTGTGGCCAGGTCAGACGGAGTGCGGTCGGACGGGGCCCGGTCAGACGGGGTCAGGCCGGAGGGCGAGGCCCGGGATCAGGCCAAGTGGAGCCAAACGCGTGTGCCCGTCAGGACGACGGTCCGAACACAAGCTCGGCCGACCGCTGCTAGGGCCCCTCCCCTTCGCCCCGTGCTGCCTCATCGGGAGAAGACGCGGCTGGATGTCGCCGCTAGCCATATTGCATGCGCCCACCCCAGCATGGTCGCGCCACGCCTGCGCAGGCGTGCCGTGTGTCGCGTACACACTGGCGTGCCGTGTTCTCACGGACGTACCGTGTACTGGCGGACGCCGGCCGCGTTGACGGGCGGCTGCCACGCGACGACGATGGAGGCCCGCGTGCCGGCCTGGTCTAGCGAGCACTTGAGCAGAACGTCACGGGGCTTCACCTGGGCTGTAGACGACACGCCGGCGGCTCAGCTCAGCACAGCACAGCTCACCTCAGCTCAGTTCAGCTCAGTTCGGCTCAGCTCAGCTCAGCTCAGCTCAGCTCAGCTCAGCTCAGCTCAGCTCAGCTCAGCTCAGCTCAGCTCAGTTCAGTTCAGTTCAGTCCAGTCCAGTTCAGCTCAGCTCAGCTCAGCTCAGCTCGGCACAGCACGGCACAGCACAGCTCAGTTCAGCTCAGCACAGCTCACGTCAGCACAGCTCAGCTAGCTCAGCACATCTAAGGTCATCTCGGGTCAGCTCAGCTCAGCCCAGCTAGGCTCAGGTCAGCTCAGCTCAGCTCAGCAGAGCGCGGCACAACACAGCTTGGCTCAGCTCGGCTCAGCACAGCACAGCACAGCTCTGTTCAGCATAGCTCGGCTCAGGTCAGCTCGGGTCAGCTCAGCTTAGCCCAGGTCAGCTCAGCTCAGCTCAGCTCAGCTCAGCACAGCACAGCTCATCTCGGGTCAGCTCATCTCAGGTCAGGTCAGGTCAGGTCAGGTCAGCACAGCACAGCACAGCACAGCACAGCACAGCACAGCACAGCACAACACAGCACAGCACAGCACAGCACAGCTCAGCTCAAATCAGCTCTCCACAGCCAGCGTCAAACGGACCGGCGTGACCGTCGAAGACATTCCCTGTTATCCTTGCTTGAGTTCAGCTCAGTGCCCAGACATCAACAAGGTTTTATCAACAAAATCACACGGGGAGTGACAAACCGTTCGATTGCATTTCCAAGCAAGAGCATGTTCCTATTTAAAGCGCAAACACGACGGAGCCGTGTACTGGGTGTCCCTCCTGGCCGCGCCGTGCCGCCGGCGTCCGAAGCCGACGGCGGCCAGCCCAGCCGGCCGCCTGCCGGCACGGGCCGCGCCGACGGTGACGCCGTCGGTACTCACTGTCCACCATGGTGACGCCGCTGACGTCGTCGGACCAGGGACCGCATAGCGGCACCAAGTCGTTACAGGCGCGCACGGAGATGTTGTAGGTACGGCCGGCCCTGAGATCTGGCCACAGGAACAGCGTCGTCGGGTGGAACACCACCAGCTGGCGGGCACGGCGGCGGCGTCACACCGCCGCCCAGCGGCTGGCAGGCGGTGCACAAACCGGCCGAGCGCACGGTCTGGCGCGGCACGAGACCAGAGGGCACATGCGGGCACACGTACCCGCCGCCACCGTCGACACGGCCCGCGCTGAACGTGTGCGCCACAGCACAGCCGCCAAACCGCAATCATCACCACAGCCGCCAAACAATCACCGCAACACAAGTGTACACTAATCTCAGCGTGGCAGATCTCACGCTTCACACTCAAAACAAACAGCCGTCACCCATCCCAGGCTCGTACTTTTCAAAGGACGCCATGAAGGCCACATGCCGGTGATTCAGTGGTCACCCATTTAAGTTGAGCAATGAAACGTGTGTTTCGTCGGGTATTTGGTGCCTGATAAATGGGCTGTAACATTTATCGATTACTTGCCCCTTTTTCACCTGAACCCAAGTTATAAAGGTCATCAGCAAATAGAAAGAGGCTTTATCATTTAACAGAAATACAGAGTAACAGTTTCAGGATATCATTTATGTGAATGGCGCATCATACACACTTCTTCAAAGATGATTAGGATTGAGGATCAGGATTTCACCACTCTCTTTCAGAGGAAGAATCTGATGCCACCATGTTGTGGTGGCTGTCTGGAAAGGAAAAGGATCTAGAATTGGCAACAAATGCTTGTCTGTCTGGAAAGACACATTCGGCGCATATTGAATACTATATATATATATATATATATATATATATATATATATATATATATATATATATACCTGGATGGATGGTAATATTATATGTTTATCTTTACAATTTCAACAAAAATACGGACGTCCCCATGTGTTCCACTAACATGTTGTCATTTCAAAAGTGAATTTGCAGTCTTTAAAGGCTCGTTTTGACATCAGATACTGACATCCTTTGAAGCTTTTCTACATCTGCGCACCCTACCAAAAATGGATCTTGGAACACTGCTGGGCTTTATCTGACAAGTGGATTCCAGAATGTTTTATAAATAAGAGAACACAAGACTGGTTTTCAGTGAGTTTAAAGCACACTGCATCGCTGTGGAAAGCAATCGATCTATTCGAGTGTGATAGCGTGGTGGAAGGTTGCATGGCTTGCCAAATCACTGCCCTGTCACTGCCAGACCATGGTGAACGCTAATTTCTGTGCATTATCGTCCCTCCCCACACCGAGCCCGGCTGGTGGATTGTGGGAGGTGTATGATACTACAGAGCGACTTCGGTTCCACAGCCACAACGCATCCCCACATGTTTCATCGTCCATGGCAGTGACGGCTGGCAGCCGCACAGCCTGTGCAGCTGGTGCCGTCGCTGCGCACCGCTCACCTCCTCCACGTTGCTGCGGTCCTCGCCGTCGGTGCGCATCAGCCGGTAAGACTGGATGAACGGCGCCACATCGGGCGACGGCTGGGACCAGCTGAGCGTCAGCGACTCGGTGGTGGCCGCCTTCACCGACAGCACCGGCTTGTACGTGGGATCTGCCGGCAGAGGAGGAGCCACTCAGCCACGCGCCTCCCCACACGGCCAGACACGTTCACCAGAGCACCGACTCCGCCGGTCGCCGGGCCGGGCCGGGCCGGGCGCCCACTCACCGCGCTCCTGCGTGATGAGGCGGCCGTCCTGGCCTCGCTCGGCTGCCTCACTAGAGCCCACAGCGTTGACGGCAGTCAGCTGAACCCTGTAGCCCCGGTTCGGCTTCAGGCTGTCTACCACGAACGACGTGGCGTTGGCCGGCACCGGTACCGAGTGGTACACCCACTGGTCAGTGCCCACCTGGCGAGAGGTCGGCGTCAGGTCACAGGGTCGAGCACAACAGTGGAGGCCCACCTGGTGATGATAACAACAGGCGAGCGGGGCCCGGGGCCCGCTGGACTCGGTCCACCTGGGAATGGGGCAGATGGATACACCCACTGACCAGCCCACCGGGGAATAGGTCAGATGGAGACACCCACTGGCCAGCCCACCTGGGAATAGGCCAGATGGATACACCCACTGGCCAGCCCACCTGGGAATAGGCCAGATGGATACACCCACTGGCCAGCCCACCTGGGAATAGGCCAGATGGATACACCCACTGGCCAGCCCACCTGGGAGTAGGCCAGATGGATACACCCACTGGCCAGCCCACCTGGGAGTAGGCCAGATGGATACACCCACTGGCCAGCCCACCTGGGAGTAGGCCAGATGGATACACCCACTGGCCAGCCCACCTGGGATAGGCCAGATGGAACACCCACTGGCCAGCCCACCTGGGAGTAGGCCAGATGGATACACCCACTGGCCAGCCCACCTGGGAATAGGTCAGATGGAGACACCCACTGGCCAGCCCACCTGGGAGTAGGCCAGATGGATACACCCACTGGCCAGCCCACCTGGGAGTAGGCCAGATGGATACACCCACTGGCCAGCCCACCTGGGAGTAGGCCAGATGGATACACCCACTGGCCAGCCCACCTGGGAGTAGGCCAGATGGATACACCCACTGGCCAGCCCACCTGGGAGTAGGCCAGATGGATACACCCACTGGCCAGCCCACCTGGGAGTAGGCCAGATGGATACACCCACCGGCCAGCCCACCTGGGAGTAGGCCAGATGGATACACCCAGGCCAGCCCACCTGGGAGTAGGCCAGATGGATACACCCACTGGCCAGCCCACCTGGGATAGGCCAGATGGATACACCCACCGGCCAGCCCACCTGGGAGTAGGCCAGATGGATACACCCACTGGCCAGCCCACCTGGAGTAGGCCAGATGGATACACCCACTGGCCAGCCCACCTGGGAGTAGGCCAATGGATACACCCACTGGCCAGCCCACCTGGGAGTAGGCCAGATGGATACACCCACTGGCCAGCCCACCGAGGTAGGCCAATGGATACACCCACTGGCCAGCCCACCTGGGAGTAGGCCAGATGGATACACCCACTGGCCAGCCCACCTGGGAGTAGGCCAGATGGATACACCCACTGGCCAGCCCACCTGGGATAGGCCATGGACACCCACTGGCCAGCCCACCTGGGAGTAGGCCAGATGGATACACCCACTGGCCAGCCCACCTGGGAATAGGCCAATGGATACACCCACTGGCCAGCCCACCTGGGAGTAGGCCAGATGGATACACCCACGGCCAGCCCACCTGGGAGTAGGCCAGATGGATACACCCACTGGCCAGCCCACCTGGGAGTAGGCCAGATGGATACACCCACTGGCCAGCCCACCTGGGAGTAGGCCAATGGATACACCCACTGGCCAGCCCACCTGGGAGTAGGCCAGATGGATACACCCACTGGCCAGCCCACCTGGGAGTAGGCCAGATGGATACACCCACTGGCCAGCCCACCTGGGAGTAGGCCAGATGAGATACACCCACTGGCCAGCCCACCTGGGAGTAGGCCAGATGGATACACCCACGGCCAGCCCACCTGGAGTAGGCCAGATGGATACACCCACTGGCCAGCCCACCTGGGAGTAGGCCAGATGGATACACCCACTGGCCAGCCCACCTGGGAGTAGGCCAGATGGATACACCCACGGCCAGCCCACCTGGGAGTAGGCCAGATGGATACACCCACCGGCCAGCCCACCTGGGAGTAGGCCAGATGGATACACCCACGGCCAGCCCACCTGGGAGTAGGCCAGATGGATACACCCACCGGCCAGCCCACCTGGGAGTAGCCAGATGGATACACCCACCGGCCAGCCCACCTGGGAGTAGGCCAGATGGATACACCCACTGGCCAGCCCACCTGGGAGTAGGCCAGATGGATACACCCACTGGCCAGCCCACCTGGGAGTAGGCCAGATGGATACACCCACGGCCAGCCCACCTGGGAATAGGCCAGATGGATACACCCACTGGCCAGCCCACCTGGGAGTAGGCCAGATGGATACACCCACTGGCCAGCCCACCTGGGAGTAGGCCAGATGGATACACCCACTGGCCAGCCCACCTGGGAGTAGGCCAGATGGATACACCCCTGGCCAGCCCACCTGGGAGTAGGCCAGATGGATACACCCACTGGCCAGCCCACCGGGAGTAGGCAGATGGATACACCCACTGGCCAGCCCACCTGGGAGAGGCCAGATGGATACACCCACCGGCCAGCCCACCTGGGAGTAGGCCAGATGGATACACCCACTGGCCAGCCCACCTGGGAGTAGGCCAGATGGATACACCCACTGGCCAGCCCACCTGGGAGTAGGCCAGATGGATACACCCACTGGCCAGCCCACCTGGGAGTAGGCCAGATGGATACACCCACCGGCCAGCCCACCTGGGAATAGGCCAGATGGATACACCCACCGGCCAGCCCACCTGGGAGTAGGCCAGATGGATACACCCACTGGCCAGCCCACCTGGGAGTAGGCCAGATGGATACACCCACTGGCCAGCCCCCTGGGAGTAGGCCAGATGGATACACCCACCGGCCAGCCCACCTGGGAGTAGGCCAGATGGATACACCCACTGGCCAGCCCACCTGGGAGTAGGCCAGATGGATACACCCACCGGCCAGCCCACCTGGGAGTAGGCCAGATGGATACACCCACCGGCCAGCCCACCTGGGAGTAGGCCAGATGGATACACCCACCGGCCAGCCCACCTGGGAATAGGCCAGATGGATAACCCACCGGCCAGCCCACCTGGGAGTAGGCCAGATGGATACACCCACTGGCCAGCCCACCTGGGAGTAGGCCAGATGGATACACCCACCGGCCAGCCCACCTGGGAGTAGGCCAGATGGATACACCCCACTGGCCAGCCCACCTGGGAGTAGGCCAGATGGATACACCCACTGGCCAGCCCACCTGGGAGTAGGCCAGATGGATACACCCACCGGCCAGCCCACCTGGGAGTAGGCCAGATGGATACACCCACCGGCCAGCCCACCTGGGAGTAGGCCAGATGGATACACCCACTGGCCAGCCCACCTGGGAGTAGGCCAGATGGATACACCCACTGGCCAGCCCACCTGGAGTAGGCCAGATGGATACACCCACTGGCCAGCCCACCTGGGAGTAGGCCAGATGGATACACCCACTGGCCAGCCCACCTGGGAGTAGGCCAGATGGATACACCCCCCGGCCAGCCCACCTGGGAGTAGGCCAGATGGATACACCCACCGGCCAGCCCACCTGGGAGTAGGCCAGATGGATACACCCACTGGCCAGCCCACCTGGGAGTAGGCCAGATGGATACACCCACCGGCCAGCCCACCTGGGAGTAGGCCAGATGGATACACCCACTGGCCAGCCCACCTGGGAGTAGGCCAGATGGATACACCCACTGGCCAGCCCACCTGGGAGTAGGCCAGATGGATACACCCACCGGCCAGCCCACCTGGGAGTAGGCCAGATGGATACACCCACCGGCCAGCCCACCTGGGAGTAGGCCAGATGGATACACCCACTGGCCAGCCCACCTGGGAGTAGGCCAGATGGATACACCCACTGGCCAGCCCACCTGGGAGTAGGCCAGATGGATACACCCACTGGCCAGCCCACCTGGGAGTAGGCCAGATGGATACACCCACTGGCCAGCCCACCTGGGAGTAGGCCAGATGGATACACCCACCGGCCAGCCCACCTGGGAATAGGCCAGATGGATACACCCACTGGCCAGCCCACCTGGGAATAGGCCAGATGGATACACCCACCGGCCAGCCCACCTGGGAGTAGGCCAGATGGATACACCCACCGGCCAGCCCACCTGGGAGTAGGCCAGATGGATACACCCACCGGCCAGCCCACCTGGGAATAGGCCAGATGGATACACCCACCGGCCAGCCCACCTGGGAGTAGGCCAGATGGATACACCCACTGGCCAGCCCACCTGGCATCCAGGGGACGTCAGCTCAACGTCAAACCAAAGGCGGATACGCCAAATGAAAGGAACTCGAATGTGACGGAGAATATCTGGACAGAATGTGTGGTTATTTGCCCATTCTCGGACGTGAGCGGGACGTCGCGCAACGCACCTCCATATACCGCAGTCTGTAGCTCTGGATCGGCGCGTTGCCGTTGTTCACCGTCCAGTTGATGAAGATGTGCGACATGCCCACGGCCACCGCCTTGATGATCTTCACCTCCGGACGTCCTGTGCGTCAGATGGACGTCGTCAGAACACCGGTGCGCACCGCTCGGGACCAGCCCTGTATGGCTCTCGGTGCCCCGCGTGTGCACCAACATCTCGCAACAAGGAACGCAACTGGACAACACGGCCCGCCCCGCTGCGTGCAGACGAAATGTCAGCCGAGCAGAGGAGCACCGTCGGCTCGGGAATGCCAGCAGATCTACCCCGGGGGCTGTCTGGCGCACTAACACCACGCACGGTAAAGAGCACGAGGCCCGACAAAAGGCCCGACTCGAACATCACGGCAACGCCGACCAACGGGGCCAGCGGCCAGCCGCCACACCGCCACCTCACGGTGCGGCGCGACGGGCGCGCAACCGCCACACTCACGCTGGACAGTGACGAGGACCGTGTGCTCGGCCCGGCCGGCGTCGTTGGACGCGGCGCACGTCAGCTCGCCGCCGTCCTTGGCCGACACGTTGGTGATGGTCAGCAGGCTCTCCAGTTCCGTGCTCGACACGTTCCGCACGCTGAGCTGGTGCCTGAGGACGGCCAGACCGCGTGTGAGCTGGCGCGCCGCCGGGTGGTAGCATGGCGCGGGGCCCGGCCCAGTCAGCGGCCGGTGCAGCGGCCCTCCTTCGCTGGCGCCCCCCGACGCCGAATCGCAGCCAAACATGCAGCTGTCCACTGGCTGCGGCGCAACCCAGACACCGCGGCGGCGCCATACACACCGCAGCAGGAGAGGGCCCGCCGCCAGACGCACCTGGGCGTGGTGTCCTTGATGGGCCGCTTGCCGGCCGTCCAGCCGATGGTGGGCGGCGGGCTGGCGCGGAACGAGCAGCTGACGGTGACTGGGTCGCCGACCCGGGCCGTGGCGCCGCCGCTGGACACCAGCTCGGGCGCGGCTGCCGGCCAGCATCGCCGCCGTCCGGTCAGACACGGCCTGGCGACCGCGTGCGACAGCCAGACGATACACACCCACCTGCAGCCACACGCCCGCACCCGCAGCCGCACGCACGCACGCACGCACGCACGCACGCACGCACGCACGCACCGCACGCACGCACGCACGCACGCACGCACGCACGCACGCACGCACGCACGCACGCACGCACGCACGCACGCACGCACGCACGCACGCACGCACGCACGCACGCACGCACGCACGCACGCACGCACGCACGCACACACACACACACACACACACACACACACACACACACACACACACACACACACACACACACACACACGGGCGTGCGGCACAGCTATGCGCGCGGCCCGGACACAGCCCCCGCGCGGCCCCGGGGCTGGAGGAGGTGCCACCGCCCACTCACCTCGGACGTCCAGCAGCACTGTACGCAGCTTTCCGCCCGACACGTGACATGTGTAGTTGCCCTGGTCCGGCAGCGAGACGCAGCCCACGGTCAGATGGGACACCACCGTCTTGTCCTGCGGCGCCGGACGCCCGATTAGAGCCGGCCCAGCCAGACGGGTACCGGTGCCGAGTGGCTCTCCTTCGCAAGCCACGCTGACCAGTAATCAACACTGCATTTGTGTGTGATCAGCCACAAACTAGTGATATTTTTGCTGCGGGACCGACTACCACCTCTGGCAGACACATCTAACATTCCATGATCCACGGCGGCCCGCTTATTATTGATTGCACCGACATGGGTAAGGGTTGAAACCATTAATACCACAGCAGTCAAGGGGATACAAGCACCCATGTTACTCAAGCTTTGAAATAGATGCAGTGCTGCTGGGGGCTGGCCGGAAACTACCCAACTCACAAAAAAAATCCGATCTTCTTGGTGAGTGCCCCACATAAAGCATGGGTTGGTTAACGCACGAGAGGAAGTCCCGATGCTCTTCTATTTCTATAATGTGACCTGTGCCTGCTGCATCAGCCCGCCACACCTCGCGCAGTCTGCTGCCGTCGGCCGCCCAACCCACACAGTCTGCTGCCGTCGGCCGCCCAACCCACACAGTCTGCTGCCGTCGGCCGCCCAACCCACACAGTCTGCTGCCGTCGGCCGCCCATCCTGTCTGATCTTCATCATAATGGCCCTTTAATATCTCATACTTCTTGCATCCTGGCTACGGCCGGGGGCCGGCCGGAGCGCGCCGCTGGAGGCCCACCTTGGTCTCGCGCTCCACCACCACGCGCTGTGACAGCGACACATTGGCGCCGTCGCGGGTCCACCAGACGGTGGCGTCCACAGGCCGGGCGGTGCACGAGATGGTGACATTTTCGCAGCTGTCCACCCGGCCGGGCTCGGTCACCTTGATGATCTCGGCGGCGCCTACGGGCCAGCCGCGCTAACTCAGCTCACATACAGCGGGCGCACTCAGAGCAGGGCAGGGGGCCGGCTCACAGCAGCGCCCGCTCGTCCCGTCCAGTCGATTTGTGGCGTTCAGTTATCCGAGGCCGTGCACTGGAAAGATCGACGTTCCTGCCGAGAGGATTGTGCAGCCCCACGGCACGTCGGTGATGGTGATAGCTGCAGCAACAGTGAAGCACCAGCGATAACACAGGATACAGCTTTAGCTGTGATGGCAGGTGGTGGAGAGCCGCAGCAAACCCCGGCCGGCCCACAGCTAAGTCATGTCATTGGGTATTTACGACACACTCAGCTGCTAAGGGTATATGGCGTCGCCTGCCTCTCACCCTGGCAGGAAGGGCAGGCACTGTGGGGAATCGAACCCAGTACCTCTGGTTTCCCCGACGTGCAGTGGTTAACGCATGGCCCACAGCTATAAAACACAAGCAATATTAATATCACATGATCCCAGACACCCCATAAGTTTACTGCAATATCAAATTTAAATCTAACCTTACAATGGAAACACATCAGCCAAGCAGTCAGCATATCAAGGGAGCACCATCTCTCACTAGTAGTTGACTTATCCTAAGACGAAACAATCACTGCCATGAGAATGAGCAAGAACAAAGCCAGACCACGACACATAGAGGGCACTCGAGCGCTACACTTGGGGCTCCGATTTCCACATAATGTTAGCGGAATGTTCGCGCCATCACCGTCAGGGTACAGCTGTAATGAAATAGTGATTCTCACCTTTACTGGTATATACATATATATATATATATATATATATATATATATATATATATATATATATATATACATTGTTTCTGTTCGTCGGTCGGATTGTGCTCACCTGCTTTAAGACATGATACTGATGATAGCAGAACTGCTGGGAGGAGCCAGCCATACCAGGGTGCAATCGGTGGTGCCATTGCACATTACTGAAACCAAGACCAACATCGTGAACAAACTCCACCTTGTACAAAACGCGGTGAATGCGTACCAAGAAGACGCTCTCTCGTTACCTGAGTAAATTCACGCATCACAATCTGCAGCGCAGCACTTGACACTGAAAACAGCGCTCAGCTCAAACCGCGATCTCGGAAATACCTGTCTCCAGGTGAGGTCAATGTAGGCCGAAAGCAGCACCACCCCTCCAGCGGCATTTCTCGGTGACCCAAGAGCTCTGGTAGGTCGCCCCCCCCCCCCCCCCCTCTCCTCCCAGTGCAGCGCCCCCGCTGTGGTCGGACGCGGCGCCGGCAAGCCGTCACCCCCACGCCGGCCGGCAGACGTCCGTACCGGCCGGCAGACCTCCACACCGGCCGGCAGACCTCCACACCGACCGGCAGACCTCCACACCGACCGGCAGACCTCCACACCGGCCGGCAGACCTCCACACCGGCCGGCCGACAGACCTCCACACCGGCCGGCAGACCTCCACACCGACCGGCAGACCTCCACACCGGCCGGCAGACCTCCACACCGGCCGGCCGACAGACCTCCACACCGGCCGGCAGACCTCCACACCGGCCGGCAGACCTCCACACCGGCCGGCAGACCTCCACACCGGCCGGCCGACAGACCTCCACACCGGCCGGCAGACCTCCACACCGGCCGGCCGGCAGACCTCCACACCGGCCGGCAGGCCTCCACACCGACCGGCAGACCTCCACACCGGCCGGCGGACCTCCACACCGGCCGGCCGACAGACCTCCACACCGGCCGGCAGACCTCCACACCGGCCGGCAGACCTCCACACCGGCCGTCACCCCCACACCGGCCGGCAGACCTCCACACCGGTCGGCAGACCTCCACACCGGCCGGCAGACCTCCACACCGGCTGGCAGACCTCCACACCGACCAGTATACCAATAATTATAAGTGAGCTTATTTCATCGTATTTGATGCTTGCTCCAATATCCTCAAATGTGGTACATTCCTTTTAAGGCTCCAAGCCAAATAGCACCAAATTTATTTAGCTGCTCAGTTTTAACAGAACGCACTGCACCCAGCCACGCCACGTGGCACAGCTAAACCAACAAGGAATAACATGAGAATCTGACGGGTCGCAATAAGGAAACTCAAGAACGAACCAGACCCCGGAGTCCCACAAGTGAAATTTCCGTCATCTTGGGAAGCAGTAATATATGTGTGTGATGGGAGATGATATATGGGAATGATTCTCTGGTGATGTATTTTATGTCCATCATGGAGATGCACACTAACCAATGTTTCAAAACAGGACCAAAATCGAGTTCATGACTACAATCGCTCTGCAATAACGTGCCAACCAACAAACAGGATAGTAGTTTGTTTACCGATGCCAGCTGACCGGTGGTTTGGTGCTGGTGCATCCCATACTGTCCTGGAGTTTTGCATGCCATCAGAACACCTTCACTGCAATGTCAAATGTTGACTTAAGGACTCTTTCAAAACTCAAATGTTTAATGCACATTTCAAAATATCATCTGTTATAAATGCATATTCATTTGAAAAACTACCAAAGAGTGCCGGTTGGAAAAAACTATTTTTGATGTTGAATTACGGCTTGGGGCAGTGGTTATGGTTCTCAGTAATGGCTATTATGAATTCAATGTTCATATGCTTGACTTTGTGCTAAAAAATGATGGCCTGAACACAGTGCCTATCTGCTAACAATGCCGGAGCAAATGATACTAATAGCATACTGTCTCGGGCAGTCCATGCCAACACATCTGCCGCTGGTGACGCACCAGCCATCAAAGCTGACAGAGGAGGTGGGATCGACAGCCATCACGAGCGGCCGGCACCTGACTCAGCCCCGTCAGACTGGTACCAGCTATCACGAGTGACTGGCACCTGACACAGCCCCATCGGACTGGTACCAGCCAGCACCCGACACAGCCCCATCAGACTGGTACCAGCTGGCACCCGACACAGCCCCATCAGACTGGTACCAGCTGGCACCTGACACAGCCCCATCAGACTGGTACCAGCTGGCACCCGACACAGCCCCATCGGACTGGTACCAGCTGGCACCTGACACAGCCCCATCAGACTGGTACCAGCTGGCACCTGACACAGCCCCATCAGACTGGTACCAGCCAGCACCCGACACAGCCCCATCGGACTGGTACCAACATGTTGGCCATCGCCGCGTGTGTCTCAGCAGTCTTCTAGTGGTGGTACTGCCAGACGCCAATGAGCTGCGTTGGTTTTGGTACTCAATGCAACACAGTTTTCTCATTTCACTGCTGTTTGTGTGCTATCACCCATGCATTGGGGATGATGCCAGGCATTAAAATATATGGGTGGGCTGACAGTAGTTTTAAGTTATATAAGACAATTTATCTGTACCAAACATGCATTTTACTCCACAGAAATTGCATGTCATACATCCACCTTTGATCCAGGGTATTGTCAATGCTGAATAAGGTCGCCATACATCAATGACAAAGCACATTTTGACCAAATTAAGTACGGTCTAATTCTCCGCAAAATAAACAGTCCCACATGTGGAACAGACTCAAAACAGTACATTGCAACTGCTGCTGCATTAAGTATAGTCACAACACTCAAATCTTTAATATTCAGGAGATTTATATGGTTTAATCAGATGAAAAGTACATCCCACCAGTCAGCCAAAGCTGCCACACATATTGCCATGCTGAATGCACTACTATTGTTTGTGACTACTTTTAATTCATTCACACTGTGAGCTTTTGTTTACTACCTTCCCCATCACATAAGCATGGCAGAGTCTGCACCTTTACTGTTCTACCACATGGAACACTAATTCTCATTTTTGTTCCATCAATTTCTCATTTCTGCTCAATCAATGTCACTCAAGCCAATGCTAAACTATCAGAGCTAGAAAAAACCACCTTACACTGCAATTATATTTAAATACCAGGAAAACACATTGTTGCTGTGAAACACACCAATATACCACACACAACCAGGCATCTATGTAATGTCCCAGTGGTTTGTATTTCTACACTACAGACAGATATTGACAAAGTCAGCACATGGGGGAATTAGTGCATATCAGTTTGCTACTACACTGGTGCATATCAGTACCACAGTTTGATGTATGGGGTGCCATTTCTGGAATCATATTGGACTGCACACATATGACCAGCTGAAAGCCAGCTTCTCACAGGCAGGTCATGTGGCCAGACACTAGGACTTCCAACAGATTGTTGCAGTTAATGTCTCTGTATGATACCTTTTGAGTCAGAGCATTTACCCCTTAAACAGCCTCTGGTGTGGCCCTAGATTCTGTTATACATTGTGTTGTCCTTGCTGGATGCCTACAGCTAAAAGTTCAAACTCTGTCATATCCCATCACAAATGCTATCAAAGAGTACACATTGACCTCAATTTCAAACTGCATTTTCTCAGGCATGGCTGGGCTGCATCACTATGCTGCACTTTCCATGCAACACAAATACATTTGTGGGTGCTACTTTGCATTATTTTATGCATGATTGTCATGCTGATTCTGCTATTTTGAAAATCTGTCACATAACACACAAACTCATAATCCATATCCAGTGCTGTGGCAAAATGTCAGGCCACTGGCAATCACTAGCTGTGTGGTAGTTCTTGTCAATGCAAATCATAAAAAACAAACTCACAATCAGTTAATAACTATTCAATTAGTACTGGATGCAGTGGTAACTGTGACCACCAGCTTTGGTGTCACAGCAGGGAGGGGGGAAGGGTAATGCATGTTTTAGCTCACCTATCCTGGACAGGATGAAGCACATCTTTTTCACCAGCAGGGGGATATTGCATGCCTTAGCTCACCTATCCCAGACAGGATGAGGCACAGCTTTTTCACAACACTTTTGAGCATAGCTCAGTAATCTGGGAATCAGGAGCCTTGCCTTACTATTGACAACTAAAAATAATGTGTTTATTATTTGGTATAAATAATTTTCAACTCACTGACTACTTCCTTAAATTCTCCTTGGTTATTGCTTGCAGTATGGCAGAGTTTTTGTGAGCTATAGAAAATCATCTATTTCTAATATTTTTATACTAGGTTTACCATTAAGCAGATCCTTCCCTTGATTTTCTCCTGAACCCCAACACACCCTACTGTTAGCAGCTTGACAAAAGCAGACAAACCAATTTGTGAAAGGGCATAGAAAAGCACAGAAAAGTGGGCAGGTATAGGAACATTCCATACATCCATGAATTTACATGTAGGTAATATTTGGCAATCATACACCTTTGTCAAAATAACTTGTTCTTGGAAATTAGCAATATGAATTTATGCACTTAATATTACATTTGATTGATGGTCAACTGGATCTTATTTGATATTATTTGGTCCCTGAACCTAAAGTCTCAGCATTTATATAATAATTGTGCATCATGACAAATGATTGGCATATTACATCACTGACTGGTGATGAATGTATTGCACTGAGTGCTTATGCTCCAAAATTATGATGACCAATATTGCCTGCCTGTTGACCTGACTTCATCTTAAACTTCTAGGTTCAGATCTATTGCCAGTTGGTAGTCAAGAGATTCTGATGGTCAACATGATAACCTGCATTATTCTGGCATCCAATGTAATTTCTACTTGTTGACTCAATCTTACCTTAATTTGCTGGCTTAGGTGTATTATTCCACGGCAGTAAAGATACGAACAGCATATCATTACTCACTGAAATTTTGAAAGCTTTATAACCACTGCTAGTGAAAACGGCATAGAGATCATTTTAGTATGCCCCTCACTCTTTCCCAGGCAATGCTCCTGATATGGACAGGCCCCTGGGCTGTGTTAAAAAAGAAGCAACAGTTATTGATGGCCTGCCCAAAAGAAGAAATTGACATATTTTACAAAAGCACTCAAACACTAGGACATATTTCTGATCTTGCATTTGAACATGTTTCTGATCTCTTTTGTCTTTCTGATTTCTGATATTCAACAAATCTGAACAAAGGAACCAATTACACATACAGCACTGTCATCCAACAAAGAGGAAGAACACAACAGTTTAGCATGACGCAAATGAGATAAAGTACGTTGTTTCAGTCACAAAAGTTTCAACTGACTGAAGAATTCACTTATATTCACATAAGCCAAAGTTGCACAGACTCACAAATGGCCACTGAGCTGTGAATCTGTTTGTACAGCTTGAGAGTAACCACTTAGTCCAATGCCTACCTGCATAAGTGGTCTTGTCACGTATTACGGACCTTTGATTTCCCTCAACAGCTACCAGCCACGTATTCGATATCTTTTATCTCCTCAAACAATAACCTGTCACGCATTCGGAACCTTTGATCTTCCGGAATAACTAGCTGCCCACATCGCTGCCTGCTCCATTTCTCTTCTTTCCGCGAAATGGCAAGCTTACAAAAGTATGCAACGCTAGCAGACTATTCCATCTATGTCGGGGTGACTAAGACAATTCTCAACGCAAACACCATGACCGGGGCTTAGGCCATCCCGCAAATACGCCGTTCGAACTTACTTTCCGATGTCCTCCCTCCATCACATGTGCTATCCATACGAGCGTTGCGGTCGTATGGATATGAGTAAGACATTTGATGCGGCGCATTTGAAAACCTTCAATGATGCCAACTTTAGTAGGGTGTTATTGGGAGGAAAACAGGAAGCTAGATTTTAGCACGCCCAATTCAGGTAAAAGTTGTGGTAAAAGCAACATACTTACAAATTATAATATGTTAAGCCATGAAAAGAATCAATTTATCTTGCTCATATCGATATTCATGTAACTGGGGTCGCCAATTTGTATAAAGCCTGTGACCTCAGCTTAGTCAGGAAGTGATGGGGCCGCGATCTAGATCAAGAATACAAGCGATTTGGAAACAGCTGATCCAAAAATCTCTCATTGCACAAGCCCTGCGCCGAGTTTGGAATAATAATAAACGGCGCGGCACGTTAAGGTGGGGGTGGGTGGGTAGTGGGATCGCCGGTTGGTTGGTCGAAGGAAGGTTGCGCGATTTGTGGTTTTATTAGATTTCTGTGTGATATTGGTGTCTGAAATGGATCATCGTACGCGTAAAAGAATCCGAGAGGCAAAGCGTAGGGCGAGACCAGGTGAGATCATGCTTCGTGGCAAAGTAGGTTGTGGTGGCTTGAATTCAGTTTGACATTGGAAGTTATAGCCCTAGCATGAGCTGTTTGCTCGAAGACTTAAAAATGGAATGTTTTACATGTCTGAGCTATAATTTTTGTAAGTGACTGATGTGCACAGATCATAGATCATTTTCTGTCAGTTCCTCTGCCGGTACACTAGATTGAAAAAAATATCTGCTATACGGGATATTTTGGTGTAGCAGCATCTCTGCAGCAACATAAGTGTATGTGTGCAATATATTTGGCGTAGGTATACATTGGCACCCTGTGTTAGAAAAGAGCATTGTACATCATTTGTTGTGTTTAAGGCAGGATTTTTTGTAAATATTCATAAAACAGGTAGATTTATGCTCCTACCATCAAATTTGAATAACCGTGATAGCAAAGTCCCAAGTGCTGCACACAACCCACTGCCTCGACCTCCATCACTGTTGCTGTGTTATTGTCATGTGGTTACAATATTACTGCTTATCAAGAACCGTACAAAATGTATGGGGCCAAGGTAACAATAATTATGCAATTAAATATGTTTCTTGTGGCATGTAGGTATATTAATGAAACAGACAGGCCAGAATAGTCCACTAGCCTAGCCTAACCTAACCTAACCTTCCTACCCTCTCCCCTTCGACCTAGTGTCCCATTGGCATCCATGTTCCGTGCCATGCATATGTACCACATTAAGAAGTTTTGTTTAGCCGCCATGTTTTCAATTTCCCTTTCATTCCCACCTTAAAACATATTTCCCCACCATGTCGATCAATCTATCAATCTTTGCCGCCTCCATGTCTTGGGGAAAGGTGCTGGACTCATAATCCAGCGGCACTGGGTACCAGCCCCAGAGTGGGTGCATTGTTTGACCCGACCGAAATGGAAAGGTCAGCTGGCAACTGGCCAACGAGGTTCAACCCAGATGGAGGCTGCCCTGTTGCAGCATTGTGCAGCATGTAAGTAAGACCAGCATTCCTGTCTGGCGAAAGGGGAGGCAAAATTAAATTAGCTGTTGAACTGGATGGGACGCTTGGGTGGTGGGCTCATGGTACACACAACAAGCTATGCTTAGCAGGTACTCTGAATCCGAAGTCACCTATACAAACCATTTGGGATAAATTTATTTTAAAAAGATCCACAAACAATATGGAAGACTGCTTGGATGTGCAAGAAACATTTCATGGGATTCTCACTACCTTGGCCCTGCAAGTTTTATGGTTCTTGATGCCCAGTAATGTTGTGGTCATGTGCAGCAATGGTGCAGTGGTCACAGTTGCTGTGTGCGGCATTAGGATGTTTGCTATCATAGTTATTTAAGTTCCAAGGTAAGAGTTTGGATGACCTGTTTTATGATTATTTGCAATATGTTCTGCCTTAAAAATGATGATTGATGTGCAATGCTCTTGTTTAACATGAGGTAGCAATGTATACCATGACCATATATTTGGATGCTCAGAGTTAGGTGCGCTGGTGTCAACAATGTCAACACTTAGAGTTCGTATTCCAAGGAATTATGTTGCGATGCTTATTTTAGGCAAAGGTACCGCAGAAACATCTCCCACACAAACACCAATGTGCCAAGTCATGTGCAGTGGTGAATGGATTTTTTGCTGACTGGCTTGTACATTAAATGTTTGACATGCATGTATAGCATATTAACAATTTATACCAAAGTCAGTGGCTTGGCATGACTATCAATCAAAGAATTATGGCAAGAAAATGGGTCCATGGGAAGAAGAAGTATGAAAAGGGCTGGGAGGATGGAGAGGTGTTTTAATTCCATATTTGCTGGAAGAGAACCTATGTTGAATTACTAGTCTTCTAGATGAATATCATTGGGATGTGTAGCAAATGATGAGCTCAATGTTGTCAACACCACAGGAGATAAAGGAACTTGATACTAAACATGCAAGTAACCATTGCTTGCACTCTTCACCTCTTTGGACTGCCAATGGAAAAGTGTTCTTTCTCACAAGTATTGGAATCTGGGTAAGAAAGGAAATGTGCTTGCAGCATCAAAACCACTCTTCAGCCCTTTAGCATCAGTTGTTTGCGTGCTGATGGGATGGATTGCAATAATCTTGTGAACCACCTGATGACAACAGTTCTCCTCAATGGCTTCTAGCGTGGTTTTGCTGATAGGTGGTTATGGTCCACTCAGCTTTTTACAGTGATAGGCAGCTATACTGAGAACAGGGATCATGGACGAACCATGGATATAGTGTGAGTTAATGCTACCAAAGCACTCAGCTCTGTCCTGCAGGAACACTCAGCAAATTGGCAGCTCACAGAATGCAAGGTGTACATTTGACATAGATTCTAATAGTTGATTATGAACAACACATACAGTGTCAGTGAATGGACAGGCATTAGATTGGGGCCAGGCTATAAGCAGAGTCCCCAAGGGGAGCGAATGGGAACTGGTGTGGTCTCTTTTCATTTCAGTGATCTGCTAGATGTAAAATTATCAGCAAATTTGTATGTGACATTGCAAGACTCCTCAGGAGAATGATGACATGGGATGCTCAGCAACTTGAAGTCAAACTGGCAATGGAAACATACTTGGAACAGTGCTAGGCTGCCCTTCAAAGCCGAAAGTGCAAAGTAATGCATGGGGGAAAAAACATCAGCTATGAATATCAGATAGATAGAAAGACATAACATCACAACCAGGAAAATGACCTTGAAACAAGCTGATTGCAAACTGAAGCTCTCCTGTAAAATAGCCTTAGCTGCGGCAAAAGTCTTAAGGGGTGTTTTTGTGGGTGCTTGTCATCCTTAACAAACTCTGACCAGCAGACTGGTTCTCTCCTATTGAAGGGGTGTTTTTGTGGGTGCTTGTCATCCTTAACAAACTCTGACCAGCAGACTGTTTCTCTCCTATTGAACTCAGTTGTCAGGTCCATTCTAGGATATGGAGACTTGGGAGCAGCGCTGGTATAGTGGTGTGGGTGATCTGCTCTGGATCTGGCGATCCTCGCCTTGAGCCCCTGCCACATCACCACTGCTTGTGATTCCATACCCTTTTTACACATGTGATACTTCTTAGAGGTATCTGTCTCAAAATGGGCCTGGAAGTCAGCGAGATGTTAAGTCTGAGTTGCTATTATTGAGGACCATTTTCCAAAAGCCACAACCAGCAAATCATATGCTAATGGTTGTCATCATGCAGCTTGTCAAGATCCTATGTGGATAAGATTGGGCCAGCTTGGTATGCCTAGAATTAGGCTGCCAGCCATTCTTCTATCGATCTATTGTGCATTACTTCTATGTGGAATCGCATGATTCTTGTCATCCCACAATGTCTGTCTTGAAATAGGCTTAGAACATGTCTTTGGAGGAAGTGAGTCTAACAACTTATTTAGGTGGTTGGTGCAAACTTCCAAAAAACTGACCTCAGAAAAGCTGTATGTTGCAGAAATTAAGTTCTTGCAGCATATTGTCAGTAGCATGGGTGCCACCATGGTAGCCACAGGTACCATAGGCTGATAATTGCCACGAATCTTCATTGTCTTGTTGTACCCACGTGCCACGTCTGTGTTGCAGAGCTTAGCTCTGAGAAGAACGGCTGGTCGCGGCTGAATTACGCGGCTTCGTTCGACTGCTCACCTCAGGCGGTGCGCGACGAGGCCACGCGCATCGACTACGACGAGGTCAGCGAGGAGCTCTTCATCGAGCGTTACGAGCGGCCCAACCTGCCGGTAGTCATCGGCGGGGCGACTCGGGCGTGGCGCGCCAACCAGCGCTGGACGCTCGAGGTGTGTACCGACCCTCCCGACCCGGGCGTGGCGCGCCAACCAGCGCTGGACGCTCGAGGTGTGTACCGACCCTCCCGACCCGGGCGTGGCGCGCCAACCAGCGCTGGACACTCGAGGTGTGTATCGACCCTCCCGACCCGGACGTGGCCCGCCAACCAGCGCTAGACGCTCGAGATGTGTACCGACCCTCCCGACCCGAGCGTGGCGCGCCAACCAGCGCTGGACGCTCGAGGTGTGTACCGACCCTCCCGACCCGGGCGTGGCGCGCCAACCAGCGCTGGACACTCGAGGTGTGTATCGACCCTCCCGACCCGGACGTGGCCCGCCAACCAGCGCTAGACGCTCGAGATGTGTATCGACCCTCCCGACCCGGGCGTGGCGCGCCAACCAGCGCTGGACGCTCGAGATGTGTACCGACCCTCCCGACCCGGGCGTGGCGCGCCAACCAGCGCTGGACGCTCGAGGTGCGTGCCGACCCTCCCGACCCGGGCGTGGCGCGCCAACCAGCGCTGGACGCTCGAGGTGCGTGCCGACCCTCCCGACCCGGGCGTGGCGCGCCAACCAGCGCTGGACGCTCGAGGTGCGTGCCGACCCTCCCGACCCTTCCGCCGCCGCCGCCGCCGCCGCCGGCGCCGCTCGCCGTTTGAGGTGGCCGGTATTGTATGGTCGAATTTTCAAACGTTTTGCTCGTTCTGACTTCATTTCCAAATTGTATAGATGAGCTGTGCTTGCTGAAACTTTGTTCCTCTATCTGTATGACAGTTTTTTGATTGGGCGGATATATGCTGGTTTTTTATCGGCATTCCCGAGTGTTTGTTCATCAACGTTATCATTCATCATCATCATCATCTTTCTTTGGCCTCGCATGGCGCTCGAGATTATCTTAGTCTCATTAAATGGAAGACTACCAACGGTGCACAAAGCTGTTTTGTTTCCCGGATGAAACGCGACCGCTGGGCATTGTAACATTCGCCGTGTGGCTTTGGAAATTGGCGATGGCAGGGGCTGGAAAGGGCTATGTGATATAGTTTTCATCATATTTGTAAGTAACATTTCCTTGTTGTTCCAGCGTCTGTCCAAAAAATACCGTAACCAAAAATTCAAGTGTGGAGAGGACAATGACGGGTGCAGTGTGAAATTGAAGATCAAGTACATCGCCGACTACTTCACCCACGTGGTCGATGATGACTCGCCGCTCTACATATTCGACGGCAACTATGGAGACGTGAGTGACTGGCCCCGTCGGAGGCTACTGGCGCGCGAGGCCAGCGGGGTTATGTTTCCGAGTCGGCGCCCCCTCCGCTGGCGAGAGATTGGGCTGTCCGTCATGCAGGCACCGGGTATGTGGTCGCCGAGCGTACCACGCCTGACCAGGCAGTATGGACGGACCAGGTGATGTGCAGAGCCCCGTGTGCGCGCTGGTCCGGGCCACTGCTGAGTCCAGTCGGCTCATTTCTCAGCTACCAGCAGCAGCTGCGTTGACGAGTGGAGCAGCATGACATGCGCTACTTTTCCACTGGCGCCGGCGCATTGCTTCGTTGTTATTTGCGGCAGCTAAAGCAGGCTGTGAGGGTGCCGGTCCTGACCGCCATTGGGCCTGCGCCAGCGGCAGCTCCACCGCCACTTCTGCTTGGCGGCCCGGCTCCGCCCACTGCCGTTCATGGCACTCGAGTCTAGCAATATCACTCAAAGTGACACTGATATAACGTCGCGACACTCGAACTGTGTTGTGTGTGTCCGTTATCTGTCAACACTGTGTGTTACTGAGGAGTTATGCTGTTGGAAGAGACACACCGGCCCCGGCTAACAGCACTTCCTGGCTCATGATCCAGGTGTTCTGTCGTGAATCGTTATAGCTCAGATCGCTCTCCAAGTGTGCTGCTGTGGCCGGTGCGGTTCGGCCGCCGCCTGACCTACCACGGCCGCTGGCTCGGTGCCGCCCCCGCCCCCGCCCCCCCCCCCCCCCCCCCGACCGGTCACATGACGGCCACCTCCCGCTGCCCGCCAGCACGAGCGCCGCAAGAAGCTGCTCGACGATTACGAGATCCCCAAGTACTTCCGTGACGACCTGTTCAAGTATTGCGGTGAGCGGCGGCGGCCACCCTACCGCTGGTTCGTCATGGGGCCGGCGCGCAGCGGCACAGGCATCCACATCGACCCGCTCGGCACCTCCGCCTGGAACGCGCTCATCTGCGGACACAAGAGGTGCGCTGGCCGGCCGGGCTCGGCTGGACGCCGCCCGGGGCCCGGGCACCTCTGGGAGGGCCGGGGCTCCTCTGCGATGCAGTGGCTCCGGGCCCGGTGTGACGGGCTGGCCGGCGCCAGCTTCGGCTGAGTTCCGTAGTGAAGGCCGGAATTGGCGGGCGCACGGCAGCCGGTGTGCTCTATATGTCATCTGTGAGGACCACAGCAGTTATTCATGCCAACGAATTTGCAGTGAACGCTCATTTCTACATTAAACATCGCATGGTCTGGTCAAGACATCAGAGGGCTAAGCTATTCAGCATACCTATAAGGATTGTTTTTCCCATTTTGATTCAGTGTCCCGAAGGTGTTGTGAGTGGTCTTATGTGGGGCTCTGTTCATACGGCGGAGGTCGGCCCGGAGGCGGCGGCGCGTGACCGCTCTTGTCCGGCCAGGTGGTGTCTGTTCCCGACCGACACGCCGGCCGAGCTGCTCAAGGTGCGGCCGGGCGAGGGACACCGCCAGCAGGACGAGGCCATCACCTGGTTCAGCGTTGTCTACCCGCGCACCCAGCTGCCCTCGTGGCCGCAGCAGTGAGTAGTGCATGCCACAGTGTGCACATCTCAGCTGGACAGTACGGAGCGCCCCGGCTACTCCTCGGCCTGATGTTGCCGTCCGCCAGGTGTTGCCGTCCGCCAGGTGTTGCTGTCGGTCGGGTGTTGCCGTCCGCCAGGTGTTGCTGTCGGTCGGGTGTTGCCGTCCGCCAGGTGTTGCTGTCGACCGGGTGTTGCTGTCGGCCGGGTGTTGCCGTCCGCCGGGTGTTGCCGTCCGCTAGGTATTGCTGTCGGTCGGGTGTTGCCGTCCGCCAGGTGTTGTCAGTCGGGTGTTGCCGTCCGCCAGGTGTTGCTGTCGGCCGGGTGTTGCTGTCGGTCGGGTGTTGCCGTCCGCCAGGTGTTGCTGTCGGCCGGGTGTTGCTGTCGGTCGGGTGTTGCCGTCCGCCAGGTGTTGCTGTCGGCCGGGTGTTGCTGTCGGTCGGGTGTTGCCGTCCGCCAGGTGTTGCTGTCGGCCGGGTGTTGCTGTCGGTCGGGTGTTGCCGTCCGCCGGGTGTCGCTGTCGGTCGGGTGTCGCCGTCCGCCAGGTGTTGCTGTCGGCCGGGTGTTGCCGTCCGCCGGGTGTTGTTGTCGGTCGGGTGTTGCCGTCCGCCGGTTGTTGCTGTCGGTCGGGTGTTGCCGTCCGCCAGGTGTTGCTGTCGGCCGGGTGTTGCCGTCAGCCGGGTGTTGCTGTCGGTCGGCTGTTGCCGTCCGCCGGGTGTTGCTGTCGGTCGGGTGTCGCCGTCCGCCAGGTGTTGCTGTCGGCCGGGTGTTGCCGTCAGCCCGGTGTTGCCGTGCGCTGCGCAGGGCTGTCAGGGTTGCCGTGTGACCGGCCGCCGCAGGTACTGCCCGCTCGAGTTCGTCCAACACCCGGGCGAGACGGTGTTCGTGCCGTACGGCTGGTGGCACGTGGTCATCAACCTGGACCTGACCATCGCCGTCACGCAGAACTTCTGCTCGCGCACCAACTTTCCGGTGGTGTGGCACAAGACGGCGCGCGGCCGGCCCAAGCTCAGTAAGAAGTGGCTGCGGGTGCTGCAGGTGAGGACTGGCGCCGTGAGGGGGGGGGGGCCGTCCTGCGCTGGGGCACGGCCGCCGGAAGAGGCCGACCGGGCGTGTCCGCTGCTGCGACCTTGCCTGTCCACTGGCTGTGCTGTGCGCATGGTTTTGTTACTCTGGGCGTGTTGTTACCATGTGGGCTGGGCGACTGAGGGTCGGGCCAAATGCGACGGCGAGGATTCCTAGCTAGACGATGCTGCTGCCTGCAAAACTGATCGGCCACGGGATCCAGCTGGAGGCTAATGTGCCCATAAAATAGTGTCCTACATCAGTGAAAGACGGCGTTTCCGTGTGTGGTGCATTTGGCCTGCCTTCTTGATAACGTCATTTTGCCAGTCACATCCTCATTAACTAACAATGGATATACTGTATGTGTACATCCTTATCTTCATGGGTGTTGATTTCTCAAAATGATTGGTGGCCAGAGTCGTCGAAGTCGCCATATTGTGACAGGTACCAAATGGGTCTGGCATTTCGTCCACTTGTATTCAGATTATTCAACGTGCTTGTTTGTAGCCACAGCAATCAGATTTGGAGGCCCGGCAGCCTTCACCAGTTTCGTATAAACGCACCTGTATTATGAAGCTGCATGGGGGGCGGCCAGTTGCACCTCTCTAGCATACTGAAAAGTGAAATATGTGCATGATTTGCCATTGTGTACTTGGATCATTGGTTTTGTATTGTTAATGTATTCACAAGGATAATGCATTCAAAATGTATGTTTAAACGCAGGTTCTCGACTCACCAAAAATTCATCGATCAGGCAAATGCAATGCATCATGTAAAGTGAAACATTAGCACTCCTCCCTGCATCATTTCAGAACATGGTCCTCAACCTTTCCCTAAAATATGCGCTCAGGTAGATCCCTTCTGTGATTTTTTCACCTCATTTAAAAACAAACACTGCGAGCCTTCTGTAGTCTGGAGACACTGCTCCAAGCTGTCGCACCTGGGAAAGGGAAGCGACCCTTACCCGCTTCGGTTCGTTTGAAGGTGTGGCGAATGAAACTGCCGCCACGACAATACCATACGCACCTCGGGCTGATTGTAACAGCGTTGTCAGCTGAGCTGGCCCTTCAGTAACCATGCCATTATACTTCTGCTCGCCAACTCTGTGCTCATTGGGCTCACCCAAGCAGGCTAGCGCGGCCAATCTTTGTGAGGTGCGGGAGGAGCATGGGATTGACAAGGGGCCCCCTCCGTGTGGAAGCCCTCCTCCCCCACAAAAATGAAGATAACCTGATATGGCCCACTTGATTTCGAGCGGCACGATTTTGTTTTTTCAAGGCTTATGTTAAACGGAAGCAGAAGCCAGAAGCTACCAAAAGATCCAGTTTTATTTGTATTTTGAAGCTATCAGACCGAAGGAATCGGACGTTGAGTGATCACGGAGAATAAACTGCCGATCCTTTTTTTTAGAGTGGCTAAGTGAACTTGTCCATGCCCATACAGGGTGTGCCGGAATTGGTGCGCGGTTGGTGCCGACTGGTGCGCGGTTGGTGCTGATTGATGCGCGGTTGGCGCCGATTGATGCGCGGTCGGTACCGATTGGTGCGCGGTTGGTGCCAATTGGTGTGCGGTTGGTGCCGATTGGTGCGCGGTTGGTACCCATCGGTGCGCGGTTGGTACCCAGTGGTGCGTGTTTGGTGCTTCCCATCATTTCCCGTCTCCCGAACGCGTAGTGAGTGAAATTGTACGGCGCTCGGTCCCACGGCGTCCCGCCGTGTCAGGTGATCAAGTGGCCCTTACGGCCGGCCTGACCTTGGCGGGCGGGAGAGGTCATTCCTTTCGAGATAGCCAACGCATTGAGTCCGCATATCGCCAATGGTGAAAGGGCGCTGCAAGCTATCCATCCGCTGCCGCGCGGTTGGGATGATCAAGGGCGGTATGACCCACGTTCAGGTCGTCAGGGACTTTGGGATCCATGTAGCGACGATTAGGCGCTAGCTGGACCGCGACCGCTGAGGAGAGACGCTCGAAAAGCGCGCAGGTCGTGGGCGGAAGTGCGCCTTGAGCCGAGTGGTGAAGGTCGTCATTGCAAAGTCGGCCTCTAAAAGGCACCACTCGACGAGAACCCTGGCGAGAAAACTGACGGCGGAGAAGTATCCAGCCTCCAAGTCGGCTGTCCACCGGTATCAGGAGACCAGCCTGCTATTAAAGCCGTTCAAGCTCAGGCTGCAGCCAAGGCTTACCGTCGACCAGAAGCGCAGGTGGCTGCAATTCACCAGGGCCAGCAAGAGCTGGTCCGCTCAAGACTAGAGACGCGTCCTGTTCAGTGACGAGTCGCCCTTCGAGCTCTTCCAAGCTCCTGACCGCCAGATCGAACGGGTCTTGGCCAACAACAGCTCGGAGGTGTCGATCGTCGAAACAGTGAAGCAGCTGCTAAATATTCTTGTCTGAGGCATGATGAACTACAGAGGCCTCTGAGCTACACCAAGTCCCTCGCGGGCAGACCGTCACCGTCGACTACTACGTGAGAGAGGTGGTGAAGACTGCAGCGTCGGTGATGCAGCGGAGGAAGGAGAATGGCCCGCCAACCAAGACCAAAGTCCTGCCAAACATGTCGAGGGTGATTTTCCAGCAGGACGGTGCTCCAGGTGGTCACGCCAGGAAGACCCAGCATCGGTGCCGTGCTAATTTCGCGGGCTTCTGGGGGAAGGGTACGTGGCCAGGCAACAGCCCCCACCCCAGCCACGGATCGGGAATCCCGAGGCGGTCGTCAAGGAGGAGCTCAGCAGGGTGTTACCGGCCACTTCAGGGAGGACTCTGTTCCAAAACGTGCAAGCGGCGTGGCGGAGGGTCAGGCAGAGAACTCTCAACAGCCTGATGTGCGGCCTCCCGGAGCGCAGGCGGCAGTGTATGCGACTGCGTGGCGATTACATTGGCAAAAAATCATGAACCCGTCTCAATTATTTTCTCTGTTAGTGAGGACGATACAACCCTGTGTCAATTTCGAGACACCCTGTGGTACTCGGGGGCTGCCCCTGAATTTTGATGGGTTGTGCATGGCTTTGGAGGCGTAGATGATAATGCACAATATATCAAATCAATAGATCGTAGATCATAGATCAAAATGGGGTCTTAAATTTGTATTGCGTACATCATAGATCAAAATGGGATCTTAAGTTTGTATTGACGCGGAAAACCAATTTTCGTCGGGGAATATTCAACCTAAGGTCAGAATCGAGTGGATAAAAAATTGCACTAGAGTTTTAACCATGCGCGATCGCAAGAGCTAGAACAATAGCCCGACGCCTGGTGCTGCAGTCTTCTTGGGCTTCGCGGCGGCGGATTGGAGCTGACATTTGACGGCGGCCGGCGTGCGGACGAAAACCATGGCGTCCCGGCGAAAGACCGTATCTGAAGCTTTTCTTCATGGTGGCCGTGCTCGCGCGTCGGGGACCGTCGTCTGGTGTTATCTGCAGCGGCCAAAAGTTACCTTAAGGGTAGATAAGCGTTCAGAATCGTCCGGCTGCATCTGGTTATCGCTGTGGTGTGGAACTAGGGGAGTCTGGAATATATCGGGATCTAACAACAAACAATAGGCAAACTGTTAGGCGGTGGTAAACAGAACCGTACACGTATGACCCGAAATGGTCTGGGGTTGAACCTGACTGACTTGAGCCCAGACTCCTCAATACTGACGACATGGACGCAGGTTATATCATGAGCTTCACACAGTCTGGGTGGGACCCATCCGTTCAGAAAACGCTTGACGTAGAGCATTGCTCAGACCAAAATGGCTGTAAATCGGGCTGGGATTCAGGAATTGCGAAACCGTAGTTGTCCGCCCCTGGTTGAGCGTGTCTGCCCAGACCCACGTCTTCACAGACTGTGTTGTGTCTCAGGCTGTGGGTGCTCGTCGCCTTTCAGGAGAAGCATCCGGATCTGGCGCGGCTGGCGGCCACCATTGACGTGTCACAGAGCTCGGGCGTGGCCTCGGACAGCAGCTCCAGCTCCAGCTCGAGCAGCTCCAGCTCCTCGGAATCGGAACACGACAGCGGCCAGGAGAGCCTGCCCGGCCACAAGAAGAAGCGGCGCCGCACCGAGCGCTCAGCGACGCCCGCGTCGGGCCGCCGCAGCCGCTCCCGCTCCGCCAGTCGGCCCCGCGACCGCGGCGACCACCGGCCGGCAGCGGCGGCGGCGGCGGCCGGGCGGCGCGGCTCCGGCTCGCCGGGCGGCAGCAGCGCCGGCCGTGGCTCGCTGACACCTCCCACCGTCAGCTGACGGCGGCCACAGTAGGTCAGTCGTAGCGCGCGCCCGGCGCCCCGGGCCCGCCGGGGGAGAGGGGCGGCGTCGCTGGTGGCGCCCGGTGAGCTGTCTCGGCTCGTGTTGGTGTTGGCTGCAGCCTGCAGTAGGTGGAGCCGTCCCCAGTCACTGGTTACTCTGTTGGGATGGCCTTTTCGCCGCCGTGACTAGCGCCATACGCTGGGATTGAGCTGGCGCCAGCGGGGGCTAGCGTCGGCCGCGGCACCAACGTCAGACGGACGCTCGGTGTGGACGGTACTCAGATGGACGCTCGGTATGGACGGTACTCAGATGGACGCTCGGTGTGGACGGTACTCAGACGGACGCTCGGTGTGGACGGTACTCAGACGGACGCTCGGTGTGGACGGTACACGGACGGGCGCTCGGTGTGGACGGTACACGGACGGACGCTCGGTGTGGACGGTACTCAGACGGACGCTCGGTGTCGACGGTACTCAAACGGACGCTCGGTGTGGACGGTACTCAGATGGACGCTCGGTGTGGACGGTACTCAGACGGACGCTCGGTGTGGACGGTACTCAGATGGACGTTCGGTGTGGACGGTACTCAGACGGACGCTCGGTGTGGACGGTACTCAGACGGACGCTCGGTGTGGACGGTACACGGACGGACGCTCGGTGTGGACGGTACTCAGATGGACGCTCGGTGTGGACGGCACACGGACGGACGCTCGATGTCGACGGTACACGGACGGACGCTCGGTGTGGACAGTACACGGACGCCCGCAGGCACTGGTACACTGATGCCCGCTCGCCTCACCGTCAGTTCAGCTGGGACTGCCGGCCACGTGACCGACCACCTGCACCGGTCAGCGGCGGCCGCTGCTGTCTCGCGAGCCGCAGCCAGTCATCACCGTCGGCAGGAGCGACGGCACGTGGCTGGTGGGGCCGAGGCTGGTCACTGAGATCCGGCTGCGTTCAGCCGGTCCCGGCCAGCAGTCATCCCGCGTCGGCGGGACGAGCCGTCGGCGTACGCGTTCATAAACTGACTAACCACTGCATCGGGCTTGTTTAGTTTATTGTAACACACGATGTCTTTCCGCTTGTTTCTCCGCTGTGTTTTACCGGTAGTGAGGACGGGAAGGCTGGTGGCCAGCGAGCAGCAGCCACTGCGGCGCCGCCAATGTCGCGCTTCGCTTCCGTGTTGTCAGTCTCCCAACAGAAAGGACACGAAGTTTGCTGGTCTTTGATCTGGAACATTCGCTATCAAATATGGAGGCATGCCCCAACTGCCTGCCAGGTCCCCCGTTCGTCGCATACGGCACTTCTGGTGAGGATCAGGTAACCTAGGCTTCAATGGAAGCACCATGCCGTATTGGCGTTAGGGGATAGCGCGGGCGCTGCGTCAGACCCGCACTAATTTCAGGTGTCCTGCACCAACAGTCGGCAGCGTGGCATCACAGCCGGAACGTTGCTACGTCTGAGCTCGGAGCTAAACTTGTCCTTGTCCTAAACTAGACTTGAGTATGCCCTTTGCATTAGCTGCGGAGCTGGCCGCTCCGCGACAGACGCGGGCGTGCGCAGGTGTGAGGTGGGGTGGGTTCAGCTGCGGGCGTGTGACGTCATGGCGGCACCGACTGCTGGAGGGGCGGCGCTCGGAGGGATGGCGCCGCCACACGTCCGCGGCCGCGCGACAGTCGGCGCTCCCCGGCCGCCCCGGGTGCGGCATACTTGCGGCAGTCGGCGAGCGCCAGCAGCCCTCCACCCGGCCGACGCGTGTCCCTGGCGCGATCTCGCGCGGTCTGGCTTCGTTCTCTCGTTCAGGACTGTCTGGCATCACAGCATTATATGCAAGATGGATGCAAACCCGTGTTGCACATGTTCTTTTGGGAGGTCGGGGGCGCTGGTGGCGTGCTGCGCCCGCACGGGTATCTGTTACGCTGCATGTGGTCCGCACAGCATAGTGGGCGGTTGTGGAGACCGATGTCTGAGCGCCGGCGGCCGGCGGACGGAGGCCAACGGCACGCCCCGCCTCGGCTTCTCCCCGCAGCGGCCCACCACGTCCGGCACAGCTGAACCACGGAGTTCGCTTTGTTCTTCGTTTGGAAATAAACCGAAAACTGAACTGTTTCCTTCCCTGCGGAGAGCGTGTGCTGAACCTGCGGAGCACCCAGGCCAGCGTGCGGTCACTGACACCGGGCGTCTGGAGGCGTGGTCACTGACACCGGGCGTCTGGAGGCGTGGTCACTGGCACCGGGCGTCTGGAGGCGTGGTCACTGGCACCGGGCGTCTGGAGGCGTGGTCACTGACACCGGGCGTCTGGAGGCGTGGTCACTGACACCGGGCGTCTGGAGGCGTGGTCACTGGCACCGGGCGTCTGGAGGCGTGGTCACTGACACCGGGCGTCTGGAGGCGTGGTCACTGACACCGGGCGTCTGGAGGCGTGGTCACTGGCACCGGGCGTCTGGATGCGTGGTCACTGACACCGGTCGTCTGGAGGCGTGGTCACTGACACCGGGCGTCTGGAGGCGTGGTCACTGGCACCGGGCGTCTGGAGGCGTGGTCACTGGCACCGGGCGTCTGGAGGCGTGGTCACTGACACCGGGCGTCTGGAGGCGTGGTCACTGGCACCGGGCGTCTGGAGGCGTGGTCACTGACACCGGGCGTCTGGAGGCGTGGTCACTGGCACCGGGCGTCTGGAGGCGTGCGGCCCGGCTCGCCTGGCGGCGCTGCAGTCTTGCCGCCGGTCCCCCGCCACCGGTGGCGGACTGGCGGACTTAGCCAAACAACGTCGACTTCTATTTTAAAGCTTTATTACAAATATAGAGTTACAAATAACTAAGGAGAATTTCTAAGTAAAGTCACAAACACGATTATAAGGTGGCGGCAGACGCGTCGGTGCCGATCCCAGTCGGCCAGCTGCCTGGAGCGGCTCTCTCCCGCGCCCACAACCTCCGGTCATATTATGCTCACAGGACGAGCCAGTGCCTGGTGAGAGCGGTCGACAAACCGATGACTAGCTAGGCGCGCAGAGGGCGCTCAATTTTTGGGGGTGCGTGTTAACAAGGGATAAACTCTATCCGGCTACGGCGTGCTGGCAGCCCGTGTCGGTCAGCGGTGCGCGCGCGTCGGCCCCCGCTCGTCCTCCAGCACCATGCTGGGGCGCCAGGGCGCCAGTCAACAAGGACCGGACACTCATTCAACATTTCACGCACGCACGTGTGCGCGGCGCCGGGGCCAGCGTCAGCCGGCGCTGGAGACGGCGTCCAGCGGCAGCTCAGCGCCACTGGAGGGACGCGGCGCCGGCAGCCGTCTCAGCAGGCCGTGCGCGGCACCGTGAGGGGTGAGCACAGTGACGGGCGCTGCCGGTCGGCCCGCTCTCCCCGCCGGGGTGGCGGGCGACGGCGCCAGACAGCGGCGCGCGCAGACGCAGCGGCGAAGCCACCGCCTTGCCACCGAGTAAGCCACTCGTGCTCCGTCCCCTGTTCACACCCTTCTCACGGGAAGGATCGGATGGTCCGCATTCGACGCTCGACAAGTCACGTGACACCACCTGTCCGGCACACAGCCACACCAGACGTAAGATATGCCATGAACATCCAGGGAGTGCCATAAAAACCGTCACGGAATACACACGCGCGCATGAGACATCCATTCGACACCATGAAGACTACGGCGTGCGACGTTCTAAAACAAAAAAGTTTTGACGAGCTTCATAGCACATTCAATGTTTTAAACTCTCAGCAGAAGAGAATCAATGCCACCGCAACAGGCCAACCCAGGGGGGATAAAGTTGCATGGCTGAAATAAAGCTGGGTCCTCGTCCTCGTCTGGCGTGTTAGCATCAACACAGTGCAGTACACACACACACCAGTGCACACACTGGCACACCTGGCGAGGATAGGACGAGGTGCCAACAGCAATCCCATCCGTGACACTGATGCGTCTCCAGGCGGCCGTAAAACCATGGGACCGAGTTTTAAATGATTCTTTTTATGCAACGTCATGAGGAATGTTGAATGTCGCATAATTTCGGAGACGTGCCTTTCGCCCCTCTCCCCCAAACCCCGGTGAAGCCATGGCCCGAGTGTTCGAAATCAACAGGGGCATGCTGTGAATAACGTTTCATCCTTTTGCATAGCGACCCTAAGGCCCATCTGAAGCCTAGAAACCCATGGGAACTCTAAGATATGAAGAAAGTTTAACCTCAGGTTTCTAATGAATATTTCTGCAATTACTGTCTGCCTGCTGTGCGCAAACCCGTCGAAACAATATGAATACGACTGAAACCGCGTGGAAGCTAGGAATATTTAGCCAAAACACCGTTTCCCTGGCTCGACATATGTTATGCAGAAAACCTTCGCGAAAACTGCTTGCTTTCTCGACAGGGTCGTGGTTATCCAGGGTGGCCCAGGTTGCTAGCAGGCTGCTTGCTAGCCTTTCCTCGGATGAGCATGCACTGGGTGAAGTGCGATGTAAATTTGAAGGTTCTTCTCATAAGTAGCCACATACCATAGCAAGCTGCGAGTCGAACCTAGCGAACGACGAACACTGCACCACACGCCTAAAAGAACACAGTCTCGCACAGCACGCATAACCAGAGCGACTTACAGTACGGACAACGCAGGTGATTTGCCAGAGACCGCTGTCCAGTACGAGCTTAAAATAAATACGCTTAAAAGGCGAGTGCGCTGGGACCGAGGACGCGGCGCGCGTGCAGGCACCGTCCCCAGTCCGGCCGGTCCGCCGCCACAGCCGTCCGCCCGGCGTCTCTGGCGCCGCGCGCGGCCGGCGCGTCTCTTTGGTTAGTACTACACGTGTGTCCGGTGGCGGCCGGCTGAGTATTGGCTGCGCCGGCGGCGGCCGCTCAGAGGGCGGCGGCCGGCCGCTGCCGCAGTAGGCGCAGCGTCTGGCGGGCCTTCTCGGCCATCTCGCGCTGTTCACTCGTCTTGCCGTAAGCCACCACCTCCCACTTCAGCTCAGTCTGCAACGGAGCGCGCGTTGCCAGTTGTCAGTTGTCAGGGGAGGGTGGCCACACGTTGGGGAGGGTGGCCACACGTTGGGGAGGGTGGCCACACGTTGGGGAGAGGTGGCCACACGTTGGGGAGGGTGGCCACACGTTGGGGAGGGTGACCACACGTTGGGGAGGGTGGCCACACGCCGAGGAGGGTGGTCACACACTACACACCAGTGGCCACGGAGATCGGTCATGCACTACAGACCGTGCGATGATTGATCACAACTGCTGCTGGGTCGCGCGGCAATAGTCGTTCTCCATTCACTTCGCAGCGACCGCCTTGGTTGGACGCCCAGCTGAGGTGGCGCGCCTCAGCGCCGTCGCACACGGGCCGTGGCGCCAGCACCAGCGTCGCTGTCAGGCTGCTCACCTTGCCTCCGCCGGCCGGTGGCGGCGGCGGCGGCCGGCGCTGTTGCCCGCCACGCGGCGCGAACGGCGGCCTCCGAGCCGGGCCACGGCCGCGTGGGCTCGAAGGCAGGCTGTCCGGGAGAATCGCCGGTGGCGAGAACAGCACCGAGTGCTCCACCGACAGCGACTTGCTCTGCACGGAACGTCAAGGCGTGGGTCAGGAGGGGCCAGGGGGGCGCAGTGGCTCCCGGCTCGTCGCCGGTCAAGATTGCTTGGTCCGGTGACGAATAACCACAAACGCACGTATCGTGATCCCTGGCGTACACCGCATTGAATAATGCGATATGTGGCATGCATAACAACAAGAATGTTGCAACACGTCCACATGTACAATTAAGTCGAGGCACGTTCCATGCATGGCTCGCCATACTCCAAAGGTTTATCATAAACGGGATGCAATTAATCTGCAGCCGACCAGCTGACAGCTGACCGGCAATGTCATGACACGGGCGGCTGGCCCGTCCAGGCGGTCACGCCGGCGTCGCCGTCGCCGCGTCACCCACCGGCGTCTCGGGCAGGACTGTCTGCGTCAGGCCCGGCACGTTGATGTTGCCGGGGGTGGACCAGGTGTTGGCGAGCGTGCGGCGCGCGCGCCGTTTCGGCGACAGGTTCTCCTTCTCGAGGCGCGCGCGCGCCGTGCCGGCGCTGCCGTAGCCGCTGTCGTTGATGGGCGCCTGATGGCAGCAAACTGTCAGCCGGGCGTCCGCGGGGGCGCCGGTTCGGGCCATGGTGCCGTCCTGCTGGCTGACCAGCCACATCAGCACCGCCGGGGCCTGGGCACGCGTCGCGCGCGGCCGCACTGGTCACAGTCACGTGACGCAGGCGTCACTCTCTGGTTTCACGACACTCGTAGTTGAGGTGGTGAGTTCAGAGTTCGACGGTCAAACACACGGCACTTCATAGCTAACGTAGTTATATGGCGGCCATGGGTGTGCGGCTTTGATGGCCCCGTCGTAGCGGTCGGTCGGGCGCCGCCATCGCTCACCACTGCGCGCGCCGCCGTGGTGTTGGGTGTGTCGGCGGCCGTCGGATTCTGGCGATCTTTGTTGATGATCTCGTTCAGGTCCTCCAGTTGGGTCGGAGTGTCCTCCTGGAGAACAGAAAATGACAGTCAACACTCACGGGGTAGCCACAGCAGACGCTATAGAGCCGTTCATGTGATGTGAGCAGCACACTACAGTATCGAAGCTACAACGCCCATGACCATGGCGAAAGTAACTGGCAACTGTCTTTTAGAATGATAGATGATAGGAATGTCTCATGTAAAGGCAAGGCAAATATACCAAATAGCGCCGGAACCCGACATGAAACCATTTGCCAGGCCTAGAACAAATGCACTGACCACAAATATAATTGGTCCATTATTGATCTCCATGTCCTTCAGCATCTTCTTCAGGGTGTCCGGCGTTCTGGGCTTCAGCTGCGTGGTCGTCGGCGGCGGGGTCCGCCGGCCCATCTCCAGCCTTCCGAGGGAGGGCCATGTGAGCACATCACCCAGCTTTGTAAACCGGCAGAAGTGTCGGAAACGTAATTCAAAAACACAAGTCGCGGAGAGTCCGCGTCATGAACGCACGCGCACGATGACTAATCGTAACACAATGCTCAAAACTAGCCTGCTGTGGTGAGTGGTACCTGGTCAGTCGGCCGTGCTGGGGCGTCGACGTCATGAACTTGACATCCTCCAGTGCCAGCGGACCGATCCGCATCGGCGAGCCCGTCAGGCCCAGATCATCGAACGCGTTTCGAGAGCCGTTCAAGAACTGCAATGAAAAACACAGGTCGTCTGCCTGCGACGTATGCAACGTGGCTGTGGAACCTTGATACAGGGGCAACCGAATCCTCTCTCTTTTGGTGCGAAAACACGCTTCACTACATCACGACTCACCCGACACGCCATGACACACTAGAGAGCGCTAGCCGGAAGCCGAGGCGTCTTCTGCCCCGGCCGCGGCGCGCGGACACGGCGGGCGCACCTGCGACGGCGAGAACGGTAGCGGCGTGATCTTCTGCGGCGTGACCGGGCACGGCGGCGTCTGCAGCAGGCTGGTGTTGCTGAGGTCCGTGTGCGTGCCGGACAGCTCGTCTCCCGCGCAGCTGGTCTGGCGGCGCCGCTTGCGCAAGATGGGCGGCGTCGAGAGCCGCGCGGCCGACGCGCTCAGATCGGCCGACAGCTCGCTGTAGGGCGTCTCCAGGCGGTACTCGGTGAACTCACTGCCCAGCACCGGTTTGCGGTCGACCTCGAGCGCCGAGTACTCGCCGATGGCGGGGAAGCTGCAGCAGAACGGATGACAGTCCCACACGGCGTCCGCGGCGTCGCACATCGGCCTGGTGGGATACCCAGCAAACAAGCCAGCGCCACATTCCACCAGGCACAGATGCTCATGGATTGTTTTAATTTAAATTATATATATATATTGCTACCATACCTGTACACATTATACGTGAATGGGTCAAATGGAGGTCACACAAGGGAGAAGTGCATGTCCACAAATTTTAAAGTTTGCTGAAAACTAGCCACCCAAAACGTGGCGTCCTTCACGGGAGTCTCCTAATTCAGCAAATCACAAAAAAAGTGCGGCATAACTTGCCATGGCCCACAAAGTTGAGCCTGGCCATGTCCTAGACGTCAGTTGCGGGTTCATCATTGTCCCATCACGACTATGGCGGTCGTAACAACAAATTGTTAACCGTTTGCATCTGATCGGACCTGGCCAAATATTGAATGCACGTGGCCGGGCCGCTGGCTGGCGTCCCCAGGCCGGTTATGGACCACAAGCACCACAACCGCGCAGATACCTGATGGGCGAATAGGCCATGGCGCCGGGCGGCAGCTCGGCCGAGAAGTCGTCCTGGTACTGGTCAGCCGGCGGCGGCGGCATGGGCTGGCTGAGCGCGTCGCCGGCGCCGCCCAGCGTCGACACCAGAGAGTCGATGCCGAACGGGTCACACAGCTGCTGGGCCGACGGGCCGGCACCCGCCACCGAGAAGCCCACACAAGCCGTCTGCCGCCGGTCGGGCCCGCGTCAGCGACGTCCGAACAAACACCAACTCATCACGCGGGCCGCATGCGCCAGGCACGGGGGCATTATCAGAAGACCAGAGCCACGGGGCATCCGCAGGCAAACAAAACTGGCTCCAAACACTGAGCCACGCACAAACCAGATCCCAAGTATTTTTTGCACAAATGGGATAAAACCAACGTATCACCCGCAAAAACCGAGCAGCAACAAAGAAAAACACGTCACAATCTCAACGCCCCTCGCTATTCGCCGCCGCAGACCCTCGGTGGCGACCCGGGACTCGTACCGTCTGATACTGGAAGTCAGCGTCGGCCACGTTGGCGTATTCCATGTGCTGCGGCGTCAGGTAGTCGGCGGCCGGCGGCGAGGTGTACTCCACCGATGGCGACGAGTAGTAATCGGTGTCAACCGTCGACTCCGGGTAGCTGGGCGGCGGAGGCGGCGGCGGCGGCGGCGGCAGCTGGCGGGGTTCGTACCGCGCCGTCGGCTCGGCGCCAGCGCGAGGCGGCGCCGCGCCGCCCGAGCGCCGCTTCTCACCCTCCTCCCAGCGCTTCTTGACGGTTGAGTTCCAGTGGTTCTTGATGGCGTTGTCAGTCCTGGGGAGGTCAGATACATGGACGGTCACCACGGTCCTGGGGAGGTCCGGGTCAGATGCCGAAACCGTCACCGCGGCAGAGGCTGCGCTGTTCAGTGTCCACGCGGTTCGTCTGCTACATGACACAACCGACAGTACAACGAACCAATCCAAAGGTCCTCTCGATAACCCCTGCACCAAATGAACGTGACCATACTAAAAATGATAACGATGTCAGCAGCGAGCCCCCGAGCGCCGGCCGGACCCCCGATCTCCGCCGCGGTGTGACGTTCACTTGCGGACGGGCTGGTGACTGCCACCCTGCTTCGCCCCCCCCCCCCCGCACACAACACAGGGGCGCCTTTCCTGGCCCGTGCCGCGCCCCGGCCGGCACCCCGTGCGCTGCCCGCCGCCGCCCACCTGCCGGGGATGTGTTTGGCGATCTTGGCCCACTGGTTGCCGTAGATGCGGTGCAGACGCAGGATATCGTCGTCCTCCTGCGGCGTCCACGACGACTTCTTGATGGCCGGGTTCAGGTGGTTGTGCCAGCGCTCGCGGCACTGCTTACCGATGCGACCCTTCAGGTGCGACGCGATCACCGACCATTTCTTGGCGCCGTACTGGTGCACCAGCTCCACCACACGGTCGTCCTCCTACCGGGTCCGCGCGGTGCTCGTCACCACCAGACGCGCGCCACACACACACACACACACACACACACACACACACATACATAACAAACGCACACACACACACGCGCACACACACACACACACACACACACACACACACACACACACAGACACAGACACAGACACAGACACAGACACAGACACAGACACAGACACAGACACAGACACAGACACAGACACAGACACAGGCACCACGCACCACGCACACACAGACACACAGACACACAGACACGCACGCACGCACGCACGCACGCACGCACGCACGCACGCACGCACGCACGCACGCACGCACGCACGCACGCACGCACGCACGCACGCACGCACGCACGCACGCACGCACGCACGCACGCACGCACGCACGCACGCACGCACGCACGCACGCACGCACGCACGCACGCACGCACGCACGCACGCACGCACGCACGCACGCACGCACGCACGCACGCACGCACGCACGCACGCACGCACGCACGCACGCACGCACGCACGCACGCACGCACGCACGCACGCACGCACGCACGCACGCACGCACACACACACACACACACACACACACACACACACACACACACACACACACACACACACACACACACACACACACACACACACACACACACACACACACACCGTCGCGCATGTCCTCAACCGATCCACTCCAACGCACGCATACCCGTTATACCTGTTATGTATACGCACGCACACCTGTTATAATTAAACGTGGTTGCCTCACGTACTTTGTGCAAATAAAGCACAACACCTATATGGCTACCAGGACAACGTGAATAATAGGGCTCGAACGGAGCCCCACGGTATATGCCGAACACCGAGCAGTGCGTCTTCTCCATCGACCGGAGCCCCACGGTATATTCCTAACACCGAGCAGTGCGTCTTCTCCATCGACCGGAGCCCCACGGTATATTCCTAACACTGAGCAGTGCGTCTTCTCCAGCGCTGTTTCACACTGCCAGACCCACGAAGTAAGATACGGTTGCTGATCTTCCTCAGATGCCCTTTTCCGTCCGACCTTGAGCGACATCTTCCCAAAGGGGGAAAACCGACCATTTGCCAACGCACGTTTCGTCTGTTAAGCGACATGTGTACGTGTGTCTCTGTTGGCGACCGCGGCGCCTACCACCCGCCTTTGACAAGAAAGGGGTGAGCAAGCCACAAACAAACATCGGTATGCCATTTTAGCAACAGCTGCGAACAGCATCAGAATGATTTTTTAACAACGTCCGTGAACAATCGGTCTATCCTATCGTAACAAGATAGTATAAGCATAAGTTTGTATGAAACGTCGCCAAAAACAAAGACGGACAAGAATGGAAGCCATAAGCAAGGGTAAGAAAGGTCGTCAAAACAAGGACGGATAGGAAGGCTCGCAAAACACACTGATAAGAAAAGTCGCCAAACAAGGACAGGGTGACGTGAACACCCATCTCTGCAAACCGGCTCCTCTAATCAACAGCTCAAAACTTCCCGCCCAGTCACGCTATACGCATTGCGCCAACATGGCGTCCGAGCGCCCGCAGCAGCCCGGCGGTGTTCCCTGGCACGGCCACTGCCCCGTCCCTTCGACGGCGATGACGGCTCCGAAGGCCAGTCGTCGCGCGCCGCGTGCCAGAGGCGCCGCGCGGTCACGACCGTGACGCGGCACAAACGGCCACCGGCGCCGCCCGGCGTAGCGTGGCGTGGTCGTCACCAAGCCAGCTCGCCATGCAACATTCGTATAATCTCGTACCTGACGGGCACCCGGCCCCATCAGGCGTATTCGCCACATTGCCTGTTAAGGCTGGCAGGCGCAAGTCAAGCAGACCCAACGCCAGCACGACCAGCCAGTGCTGCGAGGGAGGCATCACAAACACCCCGGGCACGGGCAGCGAGCAGCAGCGCGCGCACCGAGCTTTCGCATGGCAATCTGCCCTTTTGAATGAAGAACTGTAGCAACGAACCCCAGCGGCCGCGACTTCCGCAAAGTGAAACTACAGCCGTTCGAAACTTGCCACAAATTCGCGTTCTTTATCAATAATGTTACGATCATACAGCACAATGCAGTCGCATAACGTTTCGTGACATTCCACCGATAAGCGTACGCCCCGGACAGAGTACAGCGGTCGGCCCGGGACCAGCCGAAGCCGGCAGGGCCGGGCTCGATCGGGCCGGGCCGGTCAGGTCCGCACCAGGCCAGACGTGCGGCAAGCGAGCCGCCGGAGAGCCGCTCCACTGCAGATCTTATCTCCATAGCAGTACCAGCCGGCTCCGACGGCTTACGGTGCAGAATTCTGTTGTTGCCTGGCAGCTGCCAGTCCCGCTCCGCTCGGGCGGTACGCGGCCTCATAGCCCCGCTCCGCTCGGGTGACACACGGCCTCAGAGGCCCGCTCCGCTCGGGCGATACACGGCCTCAGAGGCCCGCTCCGCTCGGGCGATACACGGCCTCAGAGGCCCGCTCCGCTCGGGCGATACACGGCCTCAGAGGCCCGCTCCGCTCGGGCGATACACGGCCTCAGAGGCCCGCTCCGCTCGGGCGATACACGGCCAAAGACCCCCGCTCCGCTCGGGCGATACACGGTTTCAAAGCCCCGCCCCGCTCGGGCGATACGCGGCCTCAGAGGCCCGCTCCGCTCGGGCGATACACGGCCAAAGACCCCCGCTCCGCTCGGGCGATACACGGTTTTAAAGCCCCGCTCCGCTCGGGCGATACACGGCCTCAGAGGCCCGCTCCGCTCGGGCGATACACGGCCTCAGAGGCCCGCTCCGCTCGGGCGATACAAGGCCAAAGACCCCCGCTCCGCTCGGGCGATACACGGTTTTAAAGCCCCGCTCCGCTTGGGCGATACGCGGCCTCAGAGGCCCGCTCCGCTCGGGCGATACACGGCTTCAGAGGCCCGCTCCGCTCGGGCGATACACGGCCTAAGAGGCCCGCTCCGCTCGGGCGGTACACGGTTTTAAAGCTCCGCTTCACTCGGGCGATACACGACCTCAGAGCCCCGCTTTACTCGGGCGATACACGACCTCAGAGCCCCGCTTTACTCGGGCGATACACGACCTCAGAGCCCCGCTTTACTCGGGCGATACACGACCTCAGAGCCCCGCTTCACTCGGGCGATACACGACCTCAGAGCCCCGCTTTACTCGGGCGATACACGACCTCAGAGCCCCGCTCCGCTCGGGCAGTGCACGACCTCCGACAGTGACGCGCAGCATAGCCAGGAGACGTGACTGATACAACCGCCAGTCTGTCGCCAGTGGTTAGCCCCAGTCGCGCAGGCAAGTTTGGGCACGTGTCCCGCCCCCGTACCCCATAGCTCCCGAGAAGCTCCAAGGGCCCCTAGGGACCGAAGACAGAGGGTGTGATTTGAAGGAGCCATCTGCCCGTGTCAAAGAGCTTCTCTCGGCAGGGAGGGGACCCATCTATTATTATGTATCCCTCTAAGGGCCTCGGATCGCCAAGGGGATCCGGTCCTCGTGTCGCTAGAATAGCAACGGGTAGGCGCCCCGTGCTGGAATAGGATGGGCCGCCAGACCCCGAGCGGGAATGATAGCATGCCCACCTTCCTCCTTGCGTTCTACCCACGGGACAGCTCATCGGGAAAGGCAATGGAACCCCGTAGTGTTTAATCGGGTGGATCAAGATCGGGTTGACACAAAAGAAGACCAACCTTTATTTGCCTGAGGACGTTCATCCCTTTCCACCATCGAGTAGTGAAACAACTTATGTAAGAAAGGTTTGAAGGTCGCGCGCGCGCAATCCTAAGAGCAACAACCTATTGGCCGAGGTCGCAGCTTCGGCCAAACCGAACGGTGTTGGTCGCTGCTGGTAACACCAGGCGCCGGATGCGCGGAGATGATCGTTGTGGAGGACGGCTTCCGCAAGCATTTCAAATTCAAGTTGCATTGTTCAAATATTGGAAACATATGGTTTCTCTTCTAATTTTGAGGACATCCTATAACCAGATTAACAGATAGAGTAACACGAACATCTGACATTGCGTTTTTAATTTTTTTAGTTTCACCACCAGTTCGCAGTGCTTTAAATGCCCATCTGTTCCTCTAATCTGGTTATAAATTCTGCAGGTGAAATACACGCCTGCTTTTACCATCCTTCTAACTTCCGTCTACCTTCCAAACTACCTCCTAAGCCGACGGATTGGTGAGCTAACGCGTTGAAAGGTTCTGATCTCGGACGTCATCATTTAGTCGCCCGTTGGCCATCGCCCAGTGTTCGTCGCGGGTCCCACGCTGCGCGGCCTATAAAAGGTTCTGATCTCGGACGTCATCTTAGTCGCCCGTTGGCCATCGCCCAGTGTTCGTCGCGGGTCCCACGCTGCGCGGCCTATAAAAGGTTCTGATCTCGGACGTCATCATCTTAGTCGCCCGTTGGCCATCGCCCAGTGTTCGTCGCCGGTCCCATGCTGCGCGGCCTATAAAAGGTTCTTATCTCGGACGTCATCATCTTAGTCGCCCGTTGGCCATCGCCCAGTGTTCGTCGCCGGTCCCATGCTGCGCGGCCTATAAAAGGTTCTTATCTCGGACGTCATTATCTTAGTCGCCCGTTGGCCATCGCCCAGTGTTCGTCGCCGGTCCCATGCTGCGCGGCCTATAAAAGGTTCTTATCTCGGACGTCATCATCTTAGTCGCCCGTTGGCCATCGCCCAGTGTTCGTCGCCGGTCCCACGCTGCGCGGCCTATAAAAGACTGTAACGTCGGGCAACGGGGTTTTGTTTTTTAGACTCGCAAACGCGCTTACTCCAAGTTATTGCACATTTTTGCACCGCTCGAATCTTAATACTTTGTACATTTTTAGACGAGCTAACTTGGTCATGTGAACAAAAAAAAGCTACCCCATTTCGACATATCACTTACCGTCCAACGCGTTTCTGATTTCTCTGAAAAACACCAAATACCTGGCGAAGCACCCGAGAGCTTTCGGTTTAGAAACAGGCTACCGAAACATTGAAAATAAAGCGCATCATCGTCCATGCACCCATTTAACTCCCGGCTTCTTCAGTTTGATGACTTAACAATACAAAAACCATTCGATCCTCCGGATTCTGCTTTCTGTTCTCCTTCAAAATAATGATAAACTGAAAATCGGGCACCCTCCCCTCACAATCATGTGTGCAATATCCAATCATCTTTGTTGTTCTTTCTGTTATTATCTGAGACATTCACCATCTGGGAACTTTTTCACCACTGCGCCACCCCCGCACCGAGACGCTGGCTGCGCCCCTAGCCAGCCCCATCACGGCCTTGTGACGGGGTGTTTAATGTCCTCCCTCGGTATCACCGGTATACCCCCCCCCCCCCCCCCACACTATCGTAAGCCATATCGCGCTGACGGTGACATCACCATGCCTTCAATGTTAACATTACCAGTCACTGTTTGGTAAGATCTACTGATAGCAACCATGTGACTAATGTCACGGCATGTGTTCTGAAGGAACAGATACAATAATCTATCTTCACTTCAAATCCATTATTTCGTCACGGCAATCATTACTCAATTCCGTCGCGTGATTTGTAATGTGGTGTCCCGAGTGATTCAGCCGAGTGTAGGTCAGGCAGCGCGCCATTTTCCGCGGAAGTTACGAGGGCCTCAAACTGGAGGGGGGGGGGACATGCGCTCGTGAGTGTCAGACCATGACTGCATTCCTCCTACCTCGAATACAGCACACGTAGCACCAAAACGTGCACACTTTCTGACCAAAACACGCCTGGTTTCCTTCAGCTCCAACGTACTTAAAAATCACCGGGGTCTGATTCCCGTTGGTTCATTCTGATTCAGTTGAGAACCACGCGTCACGGAGCAGCCAGGCCCAGCTCATACCGGCCTCAGACATCAGTGCGCCGTGTCTGTGTTTGGTGGCCGGGCTTGGCAGACATCTCGCCCACCAGGACGACCCAGCGAGCGGCGGCCTCGCCCCCGGGCTACAGGACACCGGCTCGGGCCGCCTGACCAGTCGGCCCGACCCAGCGAGCGGCGGCCTCGCCCCTGGGCTACAGGACACCGGCTCGGGCCGCCTGACCAGTCGGCCCGACACGGCAACGTTCGCTGACAATGTCAGTAATGCTGAGCAGTGGGAGTCCCGCGGAGATAACCGCCGCCCGCAGCAAGGGTAATCCTTTGCCCTCTGCCGGCGCCACCGGCAGCTACCCTTCAGGACCAGCCACGGCGCTTGGTTGACTGGGTCAGGGCACGCAGCACCTGACGCCAGGCCGGCAGGGACAGCCACCCGCCAGTCTGTCGAGTCTGCCGCGCGTGCGCAGAGCTGGCTGCAGGCCCCTGACCCTGACCGGGATGACCTTCGCGAGGCGGAGCAGCACGGCTGCGTGCTCGCTTGACAGGATGACTGTGATACACGATCGTCGAACAAATGAGACGTTCGCTCGCCACCGTCTCACCGGTGCCACGTCACGCCAAAGGTCAATGGCGCGCGATGGCCGCAGGCACAGCTGGATTGGGAACTGATAGCATTAATGAGACAGGAACATTTGCATAGCGCAGAGCACCGCATCCGTTCTGGGCCCGTACCGGGTAGCTGCGCTGGTGACAGACATCGCCCGCGCGAGGGGTGTCAACGGCACGGCTGGACCCAGCAGTCCGTAACAGGCAACCACGGACAACAAACAGACGAATGCCAGTCGGTCGCTGCTGCCAGGCAGCAGAGAGCACCAAACAGCCGGCGACGCAGCCTGACATACTTCCAGCTCTGGTCCCGGCCTCCCGGGGCGGCCAAGGTGCGCATCAGAAGCGCCTCCCCGGGGCGTGCGTGTCACACGAGCCATCCCGTCATCGGGCGGCGGCGCGCGCCGGCGCTGGGAGCGGCACCGCAGCGGCCGTTGGGAGGCCCGGCGACGGGTCGCGGGCTCGTCCGCCCCCGGAGCGGCCCGTGTGGGAGGAGCACACCGCCGGCCGGCCGACCTTGAAGCTCGCAGCTCGAGAGTTTCGAACGGCGAGGAGTGGTCGCGGCGTAATGAATCGAGGGCTTCCAACGGCCGCGCGGGAAGGCTCGGCATGGACGGCCCGGCCGGGCCGCCTGGTGACCCTGCGCCGCCGACCGTGTGACGGCCGCAGCCCGGAGCCCGCCAGCCCGGCCGACCCTCAGGTCGGTCAGCAGCCGAACCCAGCCAGGATAGGCCGACCGACGCCCGCGGTGCGGCTCACGGTCCCTGACTAGAGCCTTCAGCAGACGTCTGAGTAGCCACGGTGCAAAACTGCGCGTTGCTCCCGGCGGAATGTCAAAATTGATAGTATGCCAATCTTACAGAATACGGCGAATTACACACCCGCTGTGGCGACTTCGTCATCTTCTCGCAGTTGCGAGAAGGCAAAGAATTAACCTTCCCGTGCCGCAGTGAATTTCACACCGAGTCTCCATTGTACCGTGGTCACGTTTCATCCGATCACGAATCCGAGTCCGTATTTACAAAAGCGGTCAGGGGCGGGCCAGACCGGACCCAACGCGTTATCGCCCCGCTGGGCCGCCGCTCAGCCGTCCTCGATCGCACCGCTCAGGCCGGCGCATTGATCGTTCTGCGGCCCGCTATCGAAGGGGCCGCCCCACCTACCGAGGCTTCAGCGGTGGAGGGTAACACAGCTACCGAGGCCGGCGGGCCGCCGCAGGGGCCGCTGGCCACTGCCGCCGTGCCATACCAGCTCCGCGGCGGCCGACGCCGCGCGGTCAACACTTAACATAACATTTTTTTTACATTTGAGCATCACTGGGTAGGACATGGCCTGCGCAAGACGTCACGCTTACGCAATGTAAGCCGAACGATTCCGTAGAAGGAGAATGTCACTCACAGACGTGGTCACTAGTGATGAAATGCACTTCGAAGATTGCGCCTGAATACGCCGTGACCCAGTCAGTAACTGCAATAATTCACACTCTCTTATGCTCCGTCCACCTACCAGACACCCAGTCACCTTCGATGGGAAGGCGCCGACTGACAAGAAACAAGCCGCATCTGACCGGCCGCCCGCACAGCAGGCGGCACTGACCTCCTTGGTCCAGGGTCCCTTGACCAGCTCAGGGTTGACGACGCGGTTCCACCTGCTCTGGATGTCGTACTCGTTCTTGCCGGAGAAGAGCTGGCGGATCACGTCCCACTTCTCGCCGTGCGCGTCCACGGCATGTTTCAGCTGCTCGTCCTGCGGCCCGGCCGGGTCACGTCAGGTCAGGTCACGTCACGTCACGTCACGTCACGTCACGTCATGTAACGTGACAGTCGTACCATGCACGTTCGCACAGAGAGGTTTGCACCACGTTCCTCTCCTTTTTTATGTTCCATTCCCCTCCCCCTCCTCATTGGTATCATGGTCGGGTGGAGTGTATAACCGGCGGCAGCGGTCACGACAGTGGTTTGATCGCGCCTCTCTCTCCCCGCCGCGGATTGTCCGCCTCCTGTCTGCCCCAAAGCGGCAGGCCCCGTGTCGGCCCGTGTGAAAGGTTACATAAGTGCGAGGCCCGGATGGCACCGGTCCGCCACCCGTCCACGTTCCCACGATGCCACCGCAGGCTCCCAAAATTGTATTCGAATCTGAACCCAAGAACCCTGTCGTGCCATGGTCAAAATTGATTTTCTCCTGACGATTGCTAAGTGCAATGCTATACAAAAGACTGTCGTGAAAGAATTGTTAGTGTTCGCGCAACACACAAGCCCACAGCGTCGACGTGGCGTAGCCACCGAGCGGCTGGTGTCTTAACCTCCCACGTGGGGACCCGGGTTCGAGTCCCGGTTGCGCCATGGCCTCCGAGCCCTCACGAGGCCTCTGTACGCACTGGCACTCCATAAAACAGCGCGCGACGACGTGCGTCGCGCCCCCTTTCATATTTAAAAAACACAGCATAAAGTACAGCAAAGAAACTGGCAGCAAAATTTCAGTGCATTCCTGCAACCAAGACTTGCATCAATGGTTTGCATACTGGGAATCTTGTGGACGATTTAAGGGAATAAACTCTGCATAATATATGTATAGGTTAGTGTTTGTGTCAAATTGATTATAATGTTTATGAGCAATATGTGTAGTTCTACATAGATGCATGCATCAGAGAATCCAGTATATTTATCCAACATGACCAAACCATCCAGCTTGGATCCTGATGGCACTGAGATAGGAGGTGTATATATTTTTGCCAATGAAACCTAATATGGATCCCACATGGCGGAGTCAACAAAGCCAATAACAATTTGCATGCCCTGGCCCATGTTTAAAAGACATGAGAAGAGTGATGGCTTGCTTGGGTGTACAACAGAACCTGTCTGTGAGCTAAAAGGAGTAATGACTTGCTTGGGCATACAACAGAAACTGTTAGTGAGTTAAAAGCAAGTTAAAAGGAGTGATGACTTGCCTGGGCATACAACAGAAGCTGTTGGTGAACTAAAAGAGCATTAACTATTGCCACAAACCTTTTGCCCACTTTGTCAATTTGGTATTTTCTTTCATACATACTTCACCCATTCAGTGGAACTTTGAATTTCAGTACAGCCAACCTTGATTTTCAGTACAGTCAACTTTTTAACATAATCAGAGGAAGCATGAACACCATATAGAATAAGGAGCAGCAGCCCTTACCATGATGGTCAAAAAGAAAGCAGCACATTAACATGCATCAAACATAATGTTCTTCTATGAGCCTTGATGTGAACACTCGACATGCATCACACACTACCACAATACATGATACTCAAAGACTATATTCCAATGCAATGATGCACTATCATTTTGAACATTATAATTGACACAAATGTTTTAAAATTCCCATTTACAAAAAACACAAATTTTGATCTTCCTGAAATGATTCACATCATTTCTGCATCTGAACTGACCTTTCCTAGAGGTGGTTGAGAGTATCAAAGTTCATGAGCAGTATGCTTAGAGGAATGAGGCTCTCTACTCAGGTCTTCAGCATTTTGGTAATGCTACAGACCTGAGTACAATAAACACTACAGTGCAGCGTTTAAGGATTTGTATACAATGCTGCAATTCTAGAGGCAATAGAAAAACATAATTGCAGCTTGCATGGTAAAGCTCACCTCTTCTTTGGACCACTTGGACTTCTTTGATTTCCTACGATTCATTGGAGGATTCTGTGGACTGCATGGGTGAAAATGGATTCTGCACCAATGAAGTGAAGAATAGCCTGAAACATATGAAAATAATTATCAGATGACAGGCAGTCATGACTTGTAAGGTGGAATGGTAACATTCATTAATTATGGCTTGTGGCAGAGTTGTCATACCAGGCGCAGCTAAATGCCTCAGCCTTGAAATATCCAGAGCACAAATTTTGTTGTGAGCTAAGTTAGTATTATTTCAGATGTGCAAACATTTACAATACACAAATTTACAGCAATCTAACTTTTGTGGCAAACAACAAACCAAAGATAATCACATTTTCAATCCTTGGTTTTACCAAATAAAACACCCTTTATTTTGGTTTCCATCTTGTTCATTCAATGTCCAGCAAACCTTACACATTAAATGCTGCAAAATGTAAGTCTTAGTCTGATAAAACCTACATCCAACGCCCCAAAATAACAATATGTCAAATATGGCTCACTGAAGCAGGAGATCGTGAAACAGATCTCAGACAGCTAAGCCCTCGCCCAAAACTTGACGAACTTCCATTGGGCATAAGCCTTGACACAATCAATGCTGCAGAAGACTCGCTAAGATTATCATTTATTTTAATGCATGGAATGACAGGCAAACCGTGCTCAAAGCAGGCTGGGAATGTTCCGATCCCGATTCAGGACTGGGGTGTGCGCAAAGCAAAAAGCGTGGCGAAAATGGCGACCTCACCTTAGCAACAATTCGCGGAACTTCTGAGAGACCACAACTGCCACTTACAACATTACCCGGACAGCTAGTGAGTCAACAACAATATTGTTTGCGGTAGCCTTGGCAGTCAAATTTGGAAAATGCCGGCGCCTGTAATGCCGCTCAAGTCTCCCGCCACATCCACACATTCACATCGAGACAACAAACTTGCGCGCCATACAAACAGCTGTCTACCCCGAGGCGTCTACCGGATTCCTAACCGTGAAATTCTCCTCCACGTTCCTCTACTGCTACATGATTGGTCTGCTGCGAATAGTGGCGCGTCAGTTGAAAGTCTACCGCCAGTTCACACGAGGTAATGCGGGCAAAGGGAGGCCGGCGGATGTCGGCACTTTCCCATTTCCTTTCTGTGGGAAAATGCGGGTCGGAACGCCTGTGGGGTCGGTTCGGCATTGCCCGGTCATTGACGTTAGGGCTTGCTTGTCGCTAGCGGTGATCTACTGACGCCGTCATGCATTATTTCACCTGTGTCATACCCTTTCTACTGTGGGGTGTGTATATCCTTTATGCCCCCTTCACCGTTAAGAGATCGCGCGGCCACCGGACAGAGGCTTGCGCTCGCCGAATTATCAGCATTATGGTGTAACTCCATAGCATTTAAGAGGGGACCGGGCTCATCTTTCGTTTTTGATGCCGTTCATCTGTTACAGCACGTGTGGAGGACAGGGAGGCGTAACTGAGGGATGGCGGGCAGAGTAACTACCGGTTGGTAAGGGCGCAGTTCCCATCTAACATGGGGCTTCAGCTCCCTCCCGCATGAAAAAATAGGCCGACGTACGCGAGGGTAGGTTGCGTCACTTTTGTACTGTACAGCTCCCCTTTGCCCCAACCGATTTTGTGGAACTGCTATTATGAAGGGTTCAAAGTGGCCAAAGATGCTTGAAGTAATTTATTGGTGGTCCTCTTACAAATAGCATGTAATACTGTCACGCGCCGTGCAAGAAACTCAGTGTGGCGAAGTTACTGTAGTTCACCGCCTTGACTTTTCATGCTTCGTAATTTACTTTTTTACTGTTTTTTAACGTGTTTATCAGCTGCTGCTTTCAACAGGCTGGTTATTTTTCCGCGACGGATACTGAGCCAAGATCATTTGATCACGCTCCCAGCATCTAATTCCCGGCAACCGATGCCCCATGCCTGTTCTCTCCACTGCTGTCCAAAGTAAACACCAGCACCAAAGTAGTCCTGCGTGTATTTGCCGCTGAAATGAAGGTGGCGAAGGTGATGAATCAGTGAGAGGCGGGCACATCGGCCCCCTTGAACGGGGCCAGCACCGTCTCGCGACCGCACATCCCGTCCGGCGGCCGGGCGAGTTGCGGCCTGTGCAGCGCCGCGGCCCGTGTCGGAGGCAGCGGTACGAGCGACGCGCGCCGACCCAGCCGCCGCCGCGCCGAGGCGGATCGGTCAGGGTACGGGCGGGCGGGCGCGGCGGCGCACACTGGTCCGCGGGCGGCGCCGGCCGCCCAGCGCCGCTCGCCATACATGCACACATAACAATCACTGGGCGGCCGCGTCGACGCCGCGTCGGCGAACAGCACGGTGGCGCCCGCCCCGTCAGGTGGCGGTCCCTGACGGCGCGGCGCGGCGTCCGGCAGCGTCCGCTGTCGGGGCAGCCACGTCTGGGGTCGTCCTGCGGCCGGCGTCACCGCCCGCCGGTCTGTCGGCGGTCGGCGCCAGCTCATCGCCTGCAACAGAGAGGCGCCGCTCTAGAGGCGAGGTCCTGGCGCGACAGCAGCCGCCCACTCCCCCCCCCCCCCCTCCCCCTCCCCCACTACGGGGACAGACGGTCGGAACCGAGCACACTCCAAAGGCGGGGCGGGGCGGGGCGGCACCCGGACCTGGGGTCAGTGACCCAGCGGACGTCCCATGCTGGTCGTTGTGTCCGTCTTCACCGACACAAGGCGCGAAACGCACAGACATCACACAAGACATACAGTGCATAGCCAAAAGTGTATAGCAAAGACAAAACATCCAGACACCACCTTTGTGTAGCCAAGAGTGCATAGCAAGGACAAAACATCCAGACATCACCTTTGTGTAGATCAGGGTAACTGCCAGATCAATGCTCAGGCGCACCTCCAGATGTGCATGGATATGTGTGCACCCTAACACACTAGGTTTGACAATTATGGCATAAAATGATGTAGCCTCAGCTTTCGGGCACAAAATGTCCATTCCTTGTATACGAGACATCCGTGCAGTTCCACGGAATACTAATCTGTATCGGTTTCCGTGAGTCAGCCATGCCACGGCCGCTGCAGTCGTTCATTAGTCTCGCCAGGAGTGACCGGCCCTGTCTGCCAGTGACCGGCCCTGTCTGCCAGTGACCGGCCCCGCCGCCAGGTGCCGTCCTGTCCCCGCCGGGGCGGAAAAGGCCAGGTCATTCTGGTGGCCGACCGCCGCCTCACCTGGCCTTCTTCGACTTGTGGCGGTCTCCGCTGTCGTCACGGCTCCGCTTGCTGCTTGAGCTGAAACGGCAGCGGCGCCGGGTCAGAGTCAGCTGCGGCTGCGGCCCAGACCCACGCACAGCCCCCCCCCCCCCCCCCCCGGCCGCAGGCAGACATGCAGACGCCTGATAGCGCGTGCCCAGCAGCTGATCCTGGACAGCGCAAAGCACTCCCGAGAGCCTTAATTCCAACGTTTACGTCCGGGGCGAGACAAAGGCCTTTTCGTTGCATACCTCTTGGAAGGTGATTTCTGTTTGGAGCTCCCCCGACTTGCTGGGTGACTTGGACTTGCTGGGCGACTTGTGCTTGCTGGGCGACTTGTGCTTGCTCGGTGACTTGTGCTTGCTGGACGAGTGGTGGCTGTGCCGGCCTCGGTCCTTACTCGGCATGGCCCTACAGAGAAGCAAGCGTGACCACGGCCGCCAGCCACCCAGTCAGCCGGCAGAACATGCGTCTGACAGCAGGGCCCACTGCTCGCTTAGAGAGCCGCCGCAGCCGCTGACCGCCATACACAGGGACCTGGCACACCATCAGACAACCTCTAGACATCTTTAACGACTTCTCCATAAAATACACGCAAATCGAGACGCATTTGTTGTGTGTATGGAGTCAGAATGCAACTAACGCTACTGAATACCAGCCATGAAGAGTCATTTCCTGAACTAAGAGAATTAATATAAAAGAACGCTAAAAAAAACACTGAAAAGCAATGTGCAAGGGAGTCAAGCGGACTACAAACTCGTGAGGCACGGCAAGATTGATTACCGCACTACCGCTCCTGCGCGTTATCCAATATTTGGACACATGCACAAGTCATGGCTTTTTGGAAGTCCTTTAAATACCAGTTTTAATCTCAACACATATGATCTATGTGACGATGGGAATATCTCCCGCAACATCGTATGATGCACTGATGAGCATTGTTATCGCCGTTAGCATTGTTGCTGTTAATCATGACGCAGTGAGCTGGCCTCCGCCAGAAGAGCGGAGGTCCCGGCCGCGGGTACCACAGTCCGTACCCCTTCTTCTTGGAGGTATACTCGTCCTGGAACTCGCTGCGTTCCTTGTCAGCCTCGCGTGCCTCCTCCTCCAGCTCGGACCAGTCCTTGCCAGACTCTTCTTCCGAGCCCTCCGCTTGCGGGGGCGGGGGGGGGGGGGTTCACCGTCACAGTCGTAGCGCGGAGCGCCAAGCCAAATCCAGCCCATCGCGATGACAGGTTGGTAAACAACACGGACCAGGACTGTACTTTCCTATTCAGTTGGGTGAGATCCGGCCCTCTCCCCCTTTCCCCACTTCCGAGAAAAGTGACCGAAACAAGGGGGAAGCTCGTCCGTTGGTGCATTTGGGGGGACAGGTTGTATCACCGATTAGTTTTCAGTCCCACTTCTAACTCATTTGGCACAGCTTCTCTCCTGATACGGAATGGTGGCCACCACCACGACATAGCACCAATCAGGCGGCGGCCCGTCGGAGGAAGCGTAACATACCCGTTTCCCACGCACAAATCTTCCTTCACAGACGTCCTATCTTAACACACAGGGCACGTGCGTTTGTGAGAAACCGGCACACGGTGGTCATGACATGACACTGACACCATTGTTTACTCCAGGTGCCGGCGGCATAAGGCCTGTGTGGCGCCCGAACGGCCTGTCCCGCTGAGTCGGCCTGTCCAGTGCCTGCGGCGGGTCGAGGCCGCGGCTCGCCGAAGCCTCGGGGCCGGCGCGAGAGGCTCACCGTCCGATCCAGCCGACTCGGACTGTCTTCCGAGTACTCCGACTCCGAGTCCTCATCGCTGTACTCGGACTCCTCGCCCGAGTCGCCCTCGCCCTCGCTCGGCTGCGGCGGAGATCGAGAGAAGGGTCGAGCGGTGCGCAGAGGAGCACTGACACACGGGACCGACGGACGGGGCCGGCGGAGCACCCACACACGGGACCGGCGGAGTACCGACACACGGGACCGACGGACGGGGTCGGCGGAGCACCCACACACGGGACCGGCGGAGCACCCGACGCACGGGACCGACAGACGGGGCCGGCGGAGCACCCACACATGGGGCCGACGGACGGGGCCGGCGGACACCGACACACGGGACCGACGGACGGGGCCGGCGGAGCACCGACACACGGGACCGACGGACGGGGCCAGCGGAGCACCGACGCACGGACCGACGGACGGGGCCGGCGGAGCACCCACACATGGACCGACGGACGGGGCCGGCGGAGCACCGACACACGGGACCGACGGACGGGACCGGCGGAGCACCGACACATGGGACCGACGGACGGGGCCGGCGGAGCACCGACACACGGGACCGACGGACGGGACCGGCGGAGCACCGACACACGGGACGACGGCGGGGCCGGCGGAGCACACCGCACATGGGACCGACGGACGGGGCCACGACGGGGCCGGCGGAGCACCGACGCACGGGACCGACGGACGGGGCCAGCGGAGCACCGACACCGGGACCGACGGACGGGGCCAGCGGAGCACCCACACATGGGACCGACGGACGGGGCCGGCGCACGTCCGGCGGAGCGGCTGTCACCGGCTCCGTGCGGCCGCACTGGAGCCCTGCTGAATCTGACCTGTGTCGCGCCACCCACCCCTCAGTCGCCGGCGCGATGGGCGGCCCATGACCGGCAACAGTGCCGAAGCCGGGGTTGGGCCAGCACTGACGTCCGGTCGTCACTCA